AGGAGAAGTTGAAGGAGAAGGAAGCCGAGCTTCAAAGGGTAGACCGGGCGCAGACCGCACCACCTGTTAAGAGCATCGCAGCTGCGTCTAGCAAGCCCGCAAAGACTGCTCGAAAGCGTATGGCCGCCACCGCTGAGCCAGAGACTATGCTGGGTACACCAGGAGACGGCTTCCCTGCGAAGAAGGCGAAGCGCGGCACTTCGGTCTCTGCCATGGGCGATACATCCACTTTCTCACTAACGCCATTCCTGAACAAAGCTAGCAATATAGCACTTGACAGTCCCATCGTTGAAGAAGAGGAGGAAGAAGCCGAGCAAGGCGAAGAAGAAGCTGCTGAAGAGCAAGCTACTCCGACAGCGCCTCCCAAGAAAGCCCTCAAGAAGACTGCCCAACCCAAGGTCAAGGCCCTCGCGCCATCAGCATCGAGCAAGGCAAACGCAAAGCCACGCAAGAAGAACGCTGCCCCAGTCCTCGAGATGGTCTCAGAGGAAGCATCTGAGCTCTCGCACAACACATCCGAGAACGCACCCGTATCCATCCCGACCAAAGACGACGATGGCCCATCCAAGAAGTCCAGCAAAGTCAAGCCTCGCAAGTCACTCATGTCCTTTGCCACATTTACCGAGGAACCCGCAGCGGAGAAGAAGAAGAAGCGCAAGCTTGGTGCAGGTGCCGGCAAGACACTCTTTGATTCTGAAGATGCCGAAGACGCTGCGCCCCTGAAGCCTGTCGGTCTCAGCAAAGGCCTATTTGCGGCGAGGGCCCTGAGTAAGAATGTGTTGGGTAAGCAGGGACAGGGACGCCCCATTTCGGGCGGATTCAACATGATGAGTGAGGAGGCGTTTACCTTCTCGCCGCTCAAGAAGGATCGAAGAGGGGCGAGTATTTTGAAGTAGAGGAGAGGGTTTGGGGGTTCTGAGGTGCTGTACAATACTCGTTCGGTGCATATTTGGCGTTTGGTATCAAGTATTGGCATTCATTAGACTTCAGGTTATATGCAATACATACATTACAGTTGCATCCTACAAGACAGGAGCAGTTCAAGATACGATATTCCATAAGTCTAGTTAAGGAATACATACAGAGTTCTGTAGGACGTCCAGCAGACTGAATTCCCGTGAAGACGTCCACGCTGCTACATTGCACTTTTTCGAACACTTGAGAGAGTGTCGTATGCAACACGCTAGAACCCAATATCTTGTTCTCGAACTAATGTTGGTCTGCAAGTAGGCCAAACGAATGGACCTGGGCGCTTAAGTACCTTGAAAGCCATGTGCGGCGCGGAAACAGGACCATAGCGCTGGGGCGTAGTAGGCGCACAGTATATATAGGCCGTACTAACTGTGCCTCTTCAAGGCGAGCATACAACACGACCCCAAAACAGACCAACATCAAGGTCTCCCCCTGAGTAAGCCGTTTCTCGATGGGTCCAATGGAGTTGGAGTAAGATTTCAAAGAAGGCATTGTCTTTGTAGTCGAGCGCCTGATTGGGCTGTGCATTATTCCCACACCACTCATCTCGAGATGAGGGATGAGGGAATTGATGCTCACCGGCGACCTGTAACGGAAATGCGCAAGGCAATACGGAAAATGCGCAGACACTTCGTGAGGGAATTACAACTCGCTCACGGCGCGCCGAAATCGCTCGTGAGCGATATCTGACCGGTGCGGACCGGAGTACGAACTCATGAATGCGAGGACATGCACTTCGTACACGGTGTAGATAGTACCGCCGTGGCGCACCCCTTGTCCAAATGGCTGCAAGACGACTTAGACGCTGAAGCCATCCAGAAGGCAGAAGAGACAGCTCACAGCTGTGCCGCAGAGAGTAATAGCCAGCACCAACACAAGTGCGATGCCTCACGATGTTTTCCCGCGCCAGCGCGCTTACAAGATCGGAAATAACTCGTCTACTGTCAAGCCAACTCACCAGCCTCCTCGGGCGTTGTTAGTCCCCTTTCAGATATGGCCTAACATCCGCAGCCGAGCCTTCGCCACGAAGCCCACCTACAGGGCTGAATCCGATGGCCGGGGCACTTGTTGCCCGATCCACGAGGCGCGTGATAATGCCGAGATGGCTGAATTGGTGTGCTTATCGAATGGCCAGATCGCTGACGTCGGACATGTTTGAGCACGCCCTCTGTATGGCCCGTTTGCATATATCGAGTGTGCCTTGAGCGTATTTGCACGTCACGAGTAGACCCGAAGGGTGTGCTCTGGGCTTGGTTCCCGACTTAGCCGAGTGCGGGAGGCCTTGGAGGTGCGTGGATGTTGTGTGACGGGAATTCGATGGGTTTGTGTCAAACTGCAGAAGTGCGCGCTGGTATGGGTATAGGAAACCAAGGTCAATCAATGTGTTTGTCGCTTCATCTCAAGGATCGTAGTGAGCCTTACAGCAGGTGGTAATGGATGCGCATCCCACGCTGTCGTCAAGAGTCCTTTTGGTCGCATGCGATGGTAAGACAGGTGCGCACAGCCCCAAGAAGTGGCCACACACTAGCGTGACAAGGGCATGGGCACGAGCAGGGATCGAGCTAAGCTAGCTTCCCCGCTCAGAATGCATGGTGCTGTGAATGCAATTGCCTGGGTGCATATAAGCCAACGACACCCTGTTGTTGTCGAATAATGTCCCTCACGTATCCTTCTACCATCGCCGAGTCTACTCATTCTTCTTCCAGACCCATTCTTCACGATAACGATACCGTTAACAATCAACGTACTACCGCAACCATGAGCGACGTCAACGGAAAGGCACCTGTCAATGGTGGCACTCAGTCACCTCGCACTGCCGAGCCGGTTATCAAGGTTCAACCACCGCGTCGAGAGGATCTTCAGCCTAGCTATGCGAGGGTTATCCAGCCTGATGATGCTGATGCTGACACAAACGGCTGGTACGGTGGCATGGTATGTTTACCTTAAATCCATATCCCATGCGCCACTCTAACATCCATCTAGATCAACACCCTAGGAGGCTGCATCGGTACCCTCGGAGCCATCCCCTGCTGCATCGTCTGCCCCAACCCCTACAAGCCCGTCAACCAAGGAAACGTAGGTCTCGTCACAAAGTTCGGGCGCTTCGCCCGCGCCGTCGACCCCGGTCTCGTCTACGTAAACCCACTATCCGAGCAACTCGTCCAAGTCGACATCAAGATCCAGATCGTCGAAGTCCCCAAGCAAGTCTGCATGACAAAGGACAACGTCTCCCTCCAGTTGACTTCCGTCATCTACTACCGCATCACCTCGCCCCACAAGGCCGCTTTCTCCATCTCCAACATCCGCCAGGCGCTTGTTGAGCGTACGCAGACGACGCTGAGGCATGTTGTTGGCGCGCGTGTGCTTCAGGATGTGATTGAGCGTCGTGAGGAGATTGCTCAGTCAATCCGTGAGATTATCGAGGAGACGGCTCTTGGGTGGGGTGTCGAGGTTGAGTCTATGCTCGTCAAGGATATCATCTTCAGTCAGGATCTGCAGGATTCGCTCTCTATGGCCGCGCAGAGCAAGCGTACCGGAGAAGCCAAGGTCATTGCTGCGAGGGCTGAAGTTGAGGCTGCCAAGCTTATGCGTCAAGCTGCCGACATTCTCAGCAGCGCTCCAGCTATGCAGATCAGATACCTGGAAGCCATGCAAGCTATGGCGAAGTCAGCTAACTCAAAAGTTATTTTTCTCCCGGTTTGTGGTCCCTCTGTACGAACTGTATGCGAGACAAGTACTGACAATCATTTTTAGGCTCAGAATCAGACTGTTCAGAGCGCTCTCGCGCAAGCCGACTCCGTTGGCGAAGGACCCAGCTCCCACGGCGCCAGCCCAATGGGCGTGCAGAGCTCAGCAGCACAGGAATACGGTGGCAACAGCCACGGCTTCCAGAGCGCTATCAACTCGCATGTCATTGAGAACATGTAAAGCACTGGCTTAGCGACTAAGTCTTCGTTCTTCTCTGTACTCAAATTATGCTTTTTGGTTTGGTATGCGATGATTATGGACGGATGACGATGAGGCAGATTGATAAGACGGTTTTGGTGATGGACTTGGAGCTTTTGGTTTTCGCGTTTCTTGATACCCTATTCGGCAGCAGTATTATCGGTTCACTCGCTACTCGTTCTGATAGACACTTTTACGATAATGATAATGCCTGATTATACTCAACGAACTTAGTCTCATTAGCGGTGAATGAGATCTTGCTCGATACTGTTCTGCTAAGATAGGAATTGCCGCATACGAGGCGAGATTGAGAGATGGAAAAGGGCGCATGGCGCGCCGGGGAGGTAGTCACATCATCTGGCTAGGGCGATAGCAGGGTATACAAACTAACGTATTCGTCACACTGGACTATCCCTCCATCTATCGGTCCCCGAAAAACTCACTGTCGTCATCAACCCGCGTGATGCCTTCCTCGACAGTCACCGCCAAACGACTGAAGCATGGCTCGCGCTGCGTGACCTCATCGGCGCCAACACAAAAACATGTTAGCGCCAGCTACCAAGCATATATAATCTCTGCCTTCTGACCTTTTCTCCTCTTCTCGACACCCTCAAATGCATGAGTGACTCTCCAAAAAGAGTTGTTCGTTCGTAAATGACTTTTGGAAAGTGAAGTGGTTGGCGATGACATGAACGTTTTGCGCCAAAAACAAGTTGGCTTGTGGCTATGTGGCGGACACGATGTAACTCTGGGTGACTCGAAACCAACACTCGAAAGCCATGTCGAGTCCAAAAGTGAAGTTTCATATGTTCATTCATCTACTTCAGCGTACTGTACCTCTCCTCGACTCTTTCCAAATCATCCGTTCACCAGGTTATGCCACCTTGTATACCCCAAAACGTCCAAGCTTACATGCCATGGTCGCTCACAAACGCACAATGCTTGGCTCCAAAACATGCTTTGATACAAAGGAAAATTTGAGATTTAAAAATGGAATAGTAATAACAGAAGCTCCAGCTCCCGCAAAATGATCAACAAGAATGGAGGGAAGAATAACAGGGTGTCTGACCAGAAACACGGACTTATGAAGGAAGAACACTCTTGTCGGTCGTTCCATTCCCGTTCCCTAGTATCGGCCGGGCCTCTTTCTGTTGTGGTTCGCCATATGCCCACTTCGTCGCTGCGTTGACAATGTTTGCGCATACTGGGTCGACGTGCTTGACCCATAATGCCGCAGTTCGGTATAGGATGTAGTAAAAGACCGCGATGGCGATAAGAATGTGCGTCGTCGATCCACGTTGAAGGTCCTGTTGCTCTCCCTTCTCGTTCCTTGGCGGGTTCATCGCGGAAGGTAGGTAGATCATCCAGGTAAGCACAGACTTGATGAAAGTGTTGTGCAGCAGGTATACAGGGAAACTGACACGACCGAGGAAATTAAAGACAGGCGACGTAAGGAGTTTGCGTGCGTTCCTCGAAAAGAAGATTCCCAGCAGGACAAACGCGGCTCCCAGGTGGTCCCAGTATCTTCGGATATCCGTCTTATCGGCGGTCAGGCTGTGCATGATGGTGGCCATCGTGTGCGACCAGCGTGTGTTCTGTGCCGAGTCTTGGGGAAATCCAGCCATGAACATGCCGCAAATTATCATGATGGCGGGGATGGGGGCGGGGAGGACGGAGGTGGCGGCATCCTTGTAGTGGTTGTGCAGCTCGGCTACGAACATGCCCGTGACGATGTTGAGACCCTTGATGGAGCCAACTGTGAGGTCTGCTCTAGTTAGCGATTGCCCAATTCGTTTGCTGGCCGGAACTGTACACACCTTTGCCAACTTGCCAGAAATACATGTACATGATGCCGTAGATGATGAACCGCGCTTTCGGTCGCACCAAAACCGTAGCAAGCATGGTTGTATAGACCATGAATGCGCCTTCCAAGAACATATGCAGTGTCCATTGTGTGCCATCGTACTCGTCCCAGCCGGTTGTCCATGTCTCTGTTTGCGCCCTGAACAGCGACTTGAAAGCCATCCACAGCGTAGGCTCCTGTCGGTGCCAACCCTGCCGTATCCACTGCGCATCGACGTGCTTCGTCATATGGTATGCGTTCGTATTCGCCATGAACCAGGTAACGATGGTCGCCGCCATGGTGGGGAGAATCAGCCTTCCTGAGCGCGCGAGCGCACTTCGTGCAATGCCGTGGAAGGCAGCATCGTGATTTCCCTGGCGCGACTTGCTAATCGGCCCAATCGAATTGACGTATCCAGTTACGAGGAAGAAGAGGGCTACGGCGCTACGACCTCCGACGGCGAGGCGGAAGAAGGGGAGTTGGAAGAGGTGCGGCGCGGATTTTGCGTCTGCGGCGGGCTGGTGTAGCCATGGTACAAACGCAGTACATAGGTGACCGCATACGACCATAAAGGATGCTATGCCTCGGAGGCCCTATAGCACACTGTTAGCCCCAGTTACACGACTGTGCTTGTGACGGCGGGTACGACTTACATCTATCCAGTTGGCGTCGCGAGGAGGCATGGTGAGAGAATGTAGCGTGCAAAGCCAAAAGAAAGTCTACTATTCAAGGAAGGTGAGGATTTAAGAACTATAGTATGTGCTCAGGCGCATTGCCGTGGCTTCGAGACTTGCTGATGCGTGCCCAGGTGGCTTGGAAGTTCCGCTGGTGCCGAATTCCGGGTACCAAGAAGGCGAAGAACAACGGCGCTCGTAATGATGGAATCGCTGCAGCAAAGCTCAAAACGGACGGCAAAGAGGGGAGCAGAGGTCAAAAGGAAGTGTGAGTGTAAACCAGCGGTTTGGCCTTGAGAAGCCAATGCACCCTGGCCCTACCGGTGGGGGCTACATCTTTTCAGGAACGCGCACCCTGCAGTAGACGCGGCTCACTGGGCAGATGCTGGACAGTTGGATAATGCCAAGAGAGGCTATCGGGAAGGTCACTTTAGCACTCTCCTTTGGCACGCCATCAGTGGTTTGCGGGCGCGGCAAAAACCCCAGGTAATGCTTGAAATTGATGGCAAGACTCTACCACAGATCACCCCTGAGCCGCAATGAGGTTGGTGCTCATGTCGCGTGCCCGGGCAGATGAAGCATGGAGCATGAAGATGGAGGGAAACGGCATCCCGCGCTAACAAGCTGCATCTGTGGCCTTTACAACTCCATCGCGTAGCGCTCTCCTGACGATGGTCCCTATATCTGGAACTCTCCGCTGGCGGATGTAACACAGCCATTGCAGCTGCACTTAGCCATGATCGTTCGGAACCGTTCCTTACTACAAGACCAAATTTAACGCATGTTACGAACCACGAGGCGAACATTCAGCACTCCGCAAAGCCAACTACCCGCGTATCCGGATCACGATAGCGGTACCACTGCTCATCGGCGCATGGAGGCGTAAGCTAGTGCGACGCCTCGTAGAATCAAGCACACGGAAGAACGTTTCGTTGTCTTGGCGGGCTGACGTGGAGGGCCGCTTTAACCGAGACTGCAACCCCTGAGCCAAGTTAGGGGTCGCTGCAACGCATCGTCATTTGCCAGAGCGTCCGTCTCCGATAGAGTGCCGTTTCAAATCCGAGCGGTAACAACGTCTTGCGTGTCTTGACAATCGCGCGGTAAACCTGCCAAGGCCTCACCGCGCATGCAGCTGCGTATACAGAAAGAACACGTCTTGTTACCCAGATGAATCTCTCACTGTGTTCGCGCCCTTCTCGCGATAATCCGATTGCATTCTCGTAAGATTGCAGGGCTACTTGGAAGAACGTATTTCCACTGTCACGATAAGTCAACTAATCATGAGTCAAAATTCGAGATACGCCTTCGACGCCTCTGTCATTGCACTCCACCCGCCTTGCCCATCGTGGCGTGTGGCAACTGCTCGAAGCCGCCGCCGAGGACCGCAGGCAGTGTGCTTGCCGTACCTGGCGCTATCCTCGCCCACGATACCCCAATCGAGAAGCCGGACGCGTGCTCAGGAGCGATGACATTGTCATTGGCCTGACACAAGCTGGTTAGCAAATATCGGCATGCATGGCTGTTTTGCCGGATCGAAGAGCCTTACATCAACAAGCAACCAATGTAGCTTCTCCTGCAGATACGTTCCAACAACATTCTCATCCATACTGCGCAGTTCCCCCATGCGCATCCGGTCTTCCAGAGCTACCGTCAGTGCAACTACGCCATTTGTCTGCATCTCGGTCTTCTCCTGGCCAACCGCGTTCTGAAAACCTGCATATCCAACGAACCCAGGCTCTGACATCCATGCCTGAGTATTCGCAGGTCCGGCGTTGATTTTCATATTTGCGTCCAAGAAGACGAGGACCTTGGAAACACCTCCAGGCCCCATATGTTGTGCGCGTATGACGGCGGAGTACTGGTACTGGGAATCGCTGCTCTGTGGACTGGCGACATGCTGTTCAGCGCGTGCGGTCTCCCACGAGAACCGTGGCGTTGCATTCACCCCGTACAGTGCGTTCACTCTACCAACCAGAGTGTCGGTTGCGGAGAGCCCGAGGAACTCAGAATACGTGGAGCCGAAGATTGTGTGGTCGCGAACAGAGGCTGAGGTCCAAAAGTCGCCTGCTGTATTGCGATGAAATGGATAAAGAGCTATCGATATCAGCGTCATACAATATCGAGTAAGCGGTCCAGGATGCACTCACGTGTATTTTCGTCCGCTTCTGAATACGGTGCAGTCGCGAATGTCGGCCAAGGGTTGACGTGACTCTCGACGAAGCTATCCGGATGAAGGTCTTGCCAGATGGCAAGCAATCGGTCGACGTTGCTACAATAGTCAACACCCGACTAGAGTAGGTTGCGCGGTACTTACGTATGAAGCAGCCAGAAGATAGGATCAAATGCAGAGTACGCCGCATCGTACATATGACCTCCACGACCAATGGCATTATGCAAAGTATCATGTACCGACTCCAGACTATTCGGGATGGCGCCCTGAGCATCCGTTTCCGCCATGCTGTTACTGACGTCGAGATAATTTGCTTGCATGCCCAGCATCTGGTAAGTCTGCTGCATGAGGTTCACCCGATTGCTGTCCAGAGACTCCGCTACAAGGTCGTTCTGGGATTTCGCACTTACGGCCATACTAGCCGGGTGTCTCTTTGTCGAATTCCAGAGTATCCACGGTACACTCTTGAAGTCATCAACTGGCAAAGGATGGAAGTAGTAAGCGTACAGCGGATTCGGAACAGACATTGTGGTCGTCGCCTCCCCATTTGGAACTTCAATCTCGACCGTTTCCTGTTGTACGATCGCAGGGAAGGAGCTTGTGTCCTTGGGCGGTACGGCAGCGGCGTCCCAATACGGCATGCGGAAGGTGCTTAGGGCATTGTACATTCTCTCCCTCGCTTCTCCCACCGGAAACTCCGAGATTGCTTGTTGAGCATTGGAGTAGAGCAGTTCCTTTTCAGAGTCAGTGGACCGGATAATTCGCAAGTCCCCTTCCATACTTCTATGAGGCCTAGATAAGGTCTGTGCCAGGTGGGAAACAGGTTGCTGCCATGAGCACAGTAACCGTTGCTTCCGTTCGGATGTTTGCCAACGTCATCCCATGGTATGTAAGGCCGGCCGTGTATACCTGGTGTCGATTAGTGTGTCGCTATCTGGTTACATGTTGCATATGACAGTGACAGAGCTTACCTGCGATCTGATAGTAAGAAAACTTGTCGTATTGACCTATACTCTGCAGCCGCTGCAGTCCTAGCAGATAGACGTTCAATTGATCTTTGTTCCGCTCCAACTCCCGTATTTCTAATCGAGGATGTATGGTATCGATGCCCAGTCCGCGGACGCCAAGGATAGGGTGTATCGAGTTCGTTTGTCGGGTTGTTTCACTCTTCCGTGGTACGGCGGTCGAGTTGGCTGGGGCATTAAACATGAAAACGCAAATAAAAAACCAGAGCGCTCTGGCGAGCATCCTGAAAGCCACCAAATATTGGCTAACGCAAGAAGCAAAGTGAGTTGTCGAAAGCGCGGACACTCTTGCCAGAGAACAGCATCAAGTTCTGAGGAATATGAGACGAGCAAAAGACGGGCTTCCGGAAATGGCACAATGAAAACAATTGTGAGCTGATTCTACATTGACAGTATGACTGTTGTACACGCTGCTCATCTGCTTATTCTTTATCGTGCATATGTAGCTAAGCGCGATATGCTTACACTGGTGATCAAGCCTGTGTAGTACTCGACGCGTAAGGACAGAGTCGTGGCGAAACGGCCGATTGGTATATCCTCAAGAAGCACACAAAATGCTAAACATAGTATGTAATCTCGTGGATTGGATACTAATACAGGGCAGTTTATAATAACACAAGCTCGGTGTGGGAATAAGAAGGCACCGCATTGATGTATCAGAATATTGGGCGTTCACTCATCTTGTTCATTGTAGACGGCATATATGGCAAGCGGCTTCGCGATTAGAATCTCTGCAACATGCTCGCAAATGAATAGCCAAACCAGACCTATCCACCTAGTCTGTTAATGCGGCGTTAGATGGCTGCGGGTTAGCTGTACACCACGCTAGTCGTAATTTCAACACCGCCATGTTGCGACACATTGCTGACGACACAGACCACATTGGCCAAACACAACGTTGCACCTTCCTATTCAAGTTTCGGTGTGGCTTCAGCCATGAACTGAGTTGCAAATTTAGCAAGAGAATATCGCCTCTAAAATTGTGTATATGAAAACTTTCAGGCTGATGGTAAGCCATGGATATGCAAAGAGACGCCGTCGACTCCAAGTCATACAAAACGTAATAGTACAGCCACTAGAATAGTACTCAACACACCAGGACACCGGCTAGTCCAGCTTCAAATCCATATTCGCGTACGCATACTATGCGTGGTCACCCTCACCAGTCTCGTCGTGATGCATTTCAGTCCCGTGAAAAGCATCGCCGAACGCCGAATCATCGACAAGGTCCAAGCCCAGGTTGTCATCGTGTCCATAGTCGGCCAGAGCGTCTCCAGCACTATCAATGTTGTCGAAGCTTCCAAAGTCGGCGGTGTCGAACATGCTGCCTGCATCAGCGTCGATGTTGGATTGAGGCATCCCGCCAACATTGTTCGGGCGCTGGTTGTTGCTCATGTTTGGCTGCTGGACACCGCCGGTCGGCTGTTGTGCATTGCCTGACTGGTCGTTCATCGTCCAGTCATCAGTCTTGTCTCCTGCACCCGCCATGCCGGACATTTCTACATCAAGATCCAAAAGATCGGCTCCTACATCAAGGCTTGTATCCTGTTGATCGAATGCCGACGACTGGTTCATGTTGCCGTGTGGTACATTGGGTGTACCGGTGGCGGACTGCGATTGACTCGGTGGTTGCGATAGTCTAGGCAAGGACATGTTGCCGATAGGTGTGCCAGAAAGTGATCCCGACCCATATTGATCCAAGAGGTTCGCGGCAGAGTTATCTTCCATTGAGCCCTGGTTGTTCATGCCATTCGATGTGCCGTTCGCTTGCTGTTGGGCTCCGTTCCCGTTCATCTGCGCTTTTGGAGGGGAGGGCTGTTGTACTTCAATAAAACCACCCTTGTCTACACAGACAACCGCCTTCTTCTCATCAAACTTAACACCCAGCGACTTTTCCAAATCTTGTACAACTCCTTCGACCGGGTTTGCGTCATCACCGTCGCTCTCGGTGGAGCGAGATAGATCTCGTAGTCGGCGTTCGGCTTTGATGTAGGTCCTGGTGCGCTTCAACTGTGCCACCTTCTTCGCGTGCTCGGCCTTCATCTTGTCAATCTCAGCCTGCTCGTTCTTCGTGTACTCTGCTACACGCTTCTCGAAGTCCTTGAGTTGGTCTGCGTCCAGCTTGTAGTAGTTTTTGATCTGGTAGTTGTCCTTTCCTGGCTCCACATTCTCAGCTCCTGGGACGTCCAAGATACCAGCAGTAAGCGGAGCAAGCTCGCCCATGAGGCCTAGGCCTAGATCAATCGGCGCGATCTTTCCAACAGCGTACGGTGACGAGAAGATCTCCTCCATCCACTCGTGATGTTGCTTGTAACGCGACAAGCTAATCTCGCGCGGAGTGAGGAAATCGAAAGCATCTTGTGTCGCGTTCTCCTCCTCTTCGAGAGTGTTGTCCGGCGCTAGCACGCCTGCAGCGGGTTGACGGGGTTGAGGTTGTGTCGGCAAGCGCTGGCGTTTGGCTGGCGGAGGTTGTGCAGGATATTGCCTGCCTGGGTACATGGGGTTGTAGCCCTGTGGCTGAGGGCCCCTCATCGCCTGATGTCCAAACTCGACTTTTGGCCAATTTGCCTGGTCGACCAGCATGAATTCCTTGCGCATCAACGGTCCAGCTTGCTGTAGTTGAGCGCGCATCTGGAACTGAGCCTGGACCTCTCGTGGGACGGGTATTTGGGCGGCGGGCATTCTGCTTTGTGGATCTGCGGGCTTGTAGTGCACAAGCCAGAGATTGGGATCGATGTTTCCAGGGCCTGCGGCGATTCGATAGCGATGGCGCGCGTGCACGGCATATGGTTCGCCGGGGTAGTGGTAGCCACTGTTGTGGACAAGGACTTGAAGAGTCTATATGGTGTTAGGCATTGCGCGCAAATGACGCCTTGGTATACATACGTATCCGCGCACGTTCATATCGTATGCGGTCTCAGCATCAGCCCAAACCATGCCGTCCGAGGCGAACATGGTGCCCATGCGCGGGGGCTGCCATGTGAGGATGACAGTGCCATCTTGGGGAGGGGCTGCAAGGTAGGTCCACGCGACGGGGGACGTGTCGCGCACGATTTGGGGGCCTTTGATGAGGTACTCGAGGGCTTGCGGAGCTTGGAGGCCCGGGAGAGTAGGGAAGCGGTACGAGGATATCAGGTGCACATGGGGCAGGAGGTGATTCGGCACCTGCGCACTCGGGTCGGGGGCATGGTAGGCTTGGTTCATGCCGTACATGATGGCGGAGATGATGCGACGGGATTGCCGCGTCGGTCGGGTGGGTTTGGGTGGTGATGCAGCGGGCGCGAAAGCTGGGGTTGGTTGATGTCTGGAATCTTTGGCGCGTTGGGACCGCGCGACTGCCAAGATGTCGTCGTAAGCGGTTAGCGCGGTACTCGGCTGCTACGAACACATGTTCAACTGCAATCACGACCACGGTGTACACAAAGGTGCTACTGTTCTGTATGTTATTGAAAGGTTTATGGCGTATAGTTCCAGCGGGGACTTGCTCCGTACGCACTAGACAGCTTCATTGAGGATGTTCACCTTTGCAGCCGCCGCGAGCACCTGAAAGATCCCATCTCGACCTTCCTGTATCATCGGAGCGCTGAAGTCAGCTTCGACCACTATGTCTATCGTCTTCTATTAGAAGTATTTTTGCACAACGCTCCGGTCTTGACCTTTACCTAGGTACTCATTCTGCACAGTTTTGGAAGGGTATTTCGAAGGTTCAATACCAACACTAAAATCAACTAACTATCTGGCATTAATGATACGTCGCTATGAATTACGCAGCGCCATGATGTGGTCATATAGAGCAAAACTGGATGCAAGGAGGGTAGGAAGGCCTTCTCTTGCGAAGGCGTTGTATCTTTCACCTTCAACCTACCAATATCTGGACGTTGAACCTCTGCAATGAGCCTACCTACAACCAAATGTGACGTATCCGAGGATTACCCTGAGCTTTTCTTGTGCGTGAGTAATTGTACAAGTCTTTAGCAAAGGGATAAGAAACTGCCCCATAAGTGATGACGAGAACGAGTGAAATATTCGCGTGAATTATGTATCCCAATGAAAGATGCAGCTTTGACTGGCGGCATAATTCGCGAGTCAGCCCCACAAACTTGCATGGTGTTTTCGGCGAGAACGGCTAAGTCGATTGAGTGGGGGTAAAATGTCACTGGCCCGTAACACGAATTTTTATCAAACCTCGCTCACTCAGGGCGTCGAGTCGCGATATAACGATATAAACGTTACAATTTGGCGACTTTTCATCAATCACCGATCACCGATCACCGCTCATCGCCCGTTTGGGCGACGGTGAATTCGGCTGTCCTCTTGGCAGAAGAGCAAAACCGGGCTTGTGGTTTAGTGGTATAATACTCCCTTAGCATGGGAGTGGTCCAGGGTTCGATTCCCTGCAAGTCCATCTTTTTGCGCTGCTGTGCAGTCCCTAGACAGCGGAAGGAGTAGGACGGTGTGGTGAAGATTTGGGAATTTTTGGGGAATTTTTAGTAAGATGGGCATCACGACCCGTCATTCTACGCAGATGATGCAGCTTCTTTGCTCATAAATTCACTCCTGTGCTCATGTCTGCTGCTATAGTTTGACCATGTTCTTATTTGGTAATTGTTTCATGGACTTTGGGCGTGTGGTGGTCGCAGGCAGCATCACAAAATCGCGCTTCTCCAACAACCCCGTGGTAAAAGATATGCGACACCAGCTGCATACTGACCAGCGTGATCGATCAGTGTAGCGCATCGGTTTGAGCACATGCAACAGGAGTGTGTGGACTTCAACATAATTACGACACTCCTACTTAGCAAATAACCCCATAGGTCTAATTTTGAGTCTCTCCGCAGCTCCGAATCAGGGAAGATGTGATTGTACACACTCCTGTGCAACAAAGTACGATCTCGCAAAGACAGTCTTAGTTCACCCTTCGCTCGCAGCAAATTCTGTCCCCACTCGACCGCATGTCTGAAGACAGCAATCGCTATATGATCTGGCGAACCTAGTGGCGGGTCAGTGTTCAAAGCTTTGTTAATGCTACGTATGGCGCTCAACAAAGGAGAGGAAGACGCATCCTCAGCATCGCCGCACCACTAGCTACAAACGATCCGAGCGGAAGCGAACATAGTTATCACGACTGAGAAAACTCTGAATCATCGGCATCTGCCTCATCTGCGCCTGACTTCCCCGGTGGGAACAGGTCAAATGGTTGATCAAAGAGGAAATCAAGCATGCCACGATGCATCTCCGTCTTCTCACGCAACCTCGGAGTTCCGGGCTCTCCACCGATATCCAAAAGCACCACTCCCCATTCTATCGCGTGTTTTAACGTGTCGAAACTCTTGATATCAGTGGTATCATCAGCGCCCTCCTGTGCGTCTGACTCAGCGGTCCGGATAGCGATGGGAACGATCGTACCACGAAGCTTCGCAAGTACTGCCCTTTTGGTGTCGCTCTGGAAAGTTTCACGTAGAACTTCCTCGGTATTCTGCGTAGCGTTGTAGACGCTGGCTTCAGAGGAAGTTCGTTTGCGCATACTTGAAAAGAGGAAGCGCCAAGCGATCAAATGAGGTTCGTGTTCTCGTAGCGCTTTAACCTCATCGTCCGGTGAGCTGTTGACGATGCCGTCGACGAGATCTAGTACGTGACCTTGGGCCACTGCACTCGATTGAGCATCTCTGGTCTTGGATTTCCAAGAAGCAACTAAGTCAGTTAACTTCCCATCAAGAGCGCCAGTATTTGCTCGCTTCCGACGTTTTCGGAACGACACATGTTCCTTGCCAGGAGCATACAGCGCCCACTCGTTGCTGTCATCTTTGCTAAATTCGAGTTTAAAGTCTTGAGCGATAGCGTCTCCCGGCTTGTGTATTTCGTCGCCGTACATTCTGTCCAGCTTGGAGAGGTTGCGATCGATATCCTGTCGCAGACGATCTAGAGACGGACGTCTCTTGGGATGATATCGCAGACAGGACGAGACGAGCTTACAGAGACGCACGCTGTATTCTTTGGGAAGATCTTCCAACATTGTTGGGAAAACGCCATCTTTGCCGACGTTTCCTTCCCTCAGTTTCTCGTTGGAATACCAATTGTCGGTTCTGTCTTTGGCTCGTTTGTAGAAGGTTTCTTCAGAATCTTTATGAGCCACCATCAGTGCCCAGGCTGTCATAGCCAGGCTCCAGACATCCGACTTCTCCGAAACATCCCAGTAAGCCGGTTTCCAGTCGTGTCTAATTTGCGTGGTGTTTTCTCGTTCCTGATTGTATATGAGCAATGCCTCCGTCGTGATGAATTTTTCAGTACTTACTGGTGGCTGCATTCCAGGAGTGCCCTGATACCGTCTGTTGTCAACATCTCGCGGATTGTCTTGCTCAAAAGCAACATCAAAATCAGATACAACGACATCTGGATATGCAGGGTACCCATCGTTATTGGACCGTAGGAATATGTTGGCATCTTTGATGTCGGAGTGCACAATTGGCCGCCACATCTCGTCTTGATTTTGGGGTTCAGCATTCGGTGATGAACAGGTACCAGACTGCAGAGCTAATAGTGCATCGGTCGCTTGGCTAAGAAAGTACCAAATGAAGTGCTCGGGTACAGCTTTTTGGGGAGTATTTGCATGTCCCCGATGGACGCGTGCAAGGGTCCCAAGATCGGCAAACGACGTGTATATGTTATACAGGTCTCGCTCTGACACTTGGTCATCAGGGCGATTGCGGAATCTCTTAGTGGATTTTCGGTGGCTGCTGCCATGATACGCGATCATGTGAGAACAGTGGAGGCTACTAATTCTCTTGTTCATAAGGATCTCATGTTCTGCAGCTTGCCTTTCTGTGTCTGTTATTGCCTCTAGACATTTCACTGTAATGCGCTAAAATAGTTCAGAAGAGCCATCTGGATGTGCTTTTTGTATTTGACTCACCTCTTCAATTTCACCAGTACTGTTGGTTCGAACACATAAGTAGACGGACTTGCGAGGCATCGATCCCTGGCTAAAACGCCGCTTACCATCGTCGAGCCGGGTTTGGTGCAAAGTCATTGCAAACTTCCAACGACCGTTATCATGATTGTAGAAGGCTTTTCTCTGACCTGCTGTAGGAGCTAAGAAGCGTTTGCGTTCAGGGTTATTCTGAAGAAAAAAGGTAGGCGAGCGCTCGCCGCTCGAGACTTCCGATGACGCCGCGGACGCATCATTGTCGTCGGCCTCCGGTAATGCGGGTGGTCCTGCTACTGGCAATACTGGGGGCGGTGGAATAGGTAGAGGGGGTGGTAGAGCGACCAGCGGAGCAGCGCCTGGTGCAACTGCCGTCGCCGCAGGTTGACCAAGGGGTCTTTTCTTCTCCCAATATCTCCTCTTCTTATTCCACTGTGCTACGACCTTTCTTCCTGGGCATCCTCGGGGAAGGTCTCTGCCCCTTATTTGGAGTAGCCATCGCATCAGTGCAAGAAACGCATTTCTCGTCGGATCGTCGGGGAGGTTATTATAGAGTGTTGTATCATCGGCATCTATACTTCCGTATGTGTCAAAACCGTTGACATTATCGACCCATGGGCGCGGAGGATTTGCCATTGCATGCAGATTGTGCTGGGTGCCTTGGTATGTTAGGGAGGATTATGTGAGGATTTGCAAAACAGACTGCGCAAGTCTGCGCTCAAGTGAAATTGCATTTCCATTTCGACAAATAACGTCAAAGCCTCTTGTACTGCTTTGTTGATGGCCTTGAGGTGCTGGTTTGATACGAAGACAATGGGATTGGGGATGGCGAAGCAAGCAAGGAAGGACTATCTGGGTCTTCCGAGGTTCGCTTAGCCCGGCGCTTTGTCGCATTTGGCGCAAGTTCCTTTACTGACATGAGTTTGCACATGTGAGGGCCGGAGAGCTCAGTCAAAATATGATGTAGTAGTTCACTTGAAGTTTCTTTGCAAGGAAGTACGCTAAGCAAGACCTCGTCAAAGTCGGGATACTGAGTCGGTGTAAAAACCACTTCATTCAAGGAAGCTGATGTACTCATCAGGCGCAATGGACATCGGCCAGATTGTACGTGCCGCAGGGTGAGTAACTGGCTCTACGGTTTCTGGACGAATACTATGTTATCATATGAAGGCGGATATGGCTTATATCTCTACCAACAATCCACAAAGGGTATTCAACTTTTGTTTCTTATGCACATGACCTGGTTACCCTTCCAGTGTCTATATCTCCTGCTTCCACTCCTTGTTAAACGCCCGTCCAATAACCATTCTCCTCACCTCACTCGTTCCAGCGCCAATCTCGTACAACTTTGCATCCCTGAGTATCCGTCCAACAGGAACCTCGTTCATGTATCCCATGCCGCCCATCAACTGCACCGCATCCGCTGCGACCTCGCTCGCCCTCTCTGCCGCATACAGAATCGCTCCTGCACAGTCCTGTGTCTTGATATCGGGACTAGCATGCGACTCATCCACAGCGCGGGCAACACTGTATGTGAAAGCCTGACTAGCCCGGTATTTCGTGTACATGTCCGCCAGCTTCCCCTGCACAAGCTGGTTATGCGCAATCGGCATGCCGAACTGTTTCCGCTGGTGTGTATAGGGAAGGACGTTATCAAGCGACGCCTGCATGAGACCCAGCGGCCCCGCGGAGAGGACCAGACGCTCAAGATCCAGGCCCTCCATCAGCACGCGGACGCCGCGGTTGATCTCGCCGAGGACGTTTTCCTTGGGGACGAAGACGTTCTCGAAGACAAGTTCGCCAGTGTTGGAGCCGCGCATACCCAGTTTGTCTAGTTTGTTCGCGACGCTGAAGCCGGGGGTAGAGGTCTCGAGGATGAAGGCTGTGATGCCCTTGGAGGCGGCGTTGGGTTCGGTTTTGGCGTAGACGACTATTACGTGTGCGTCTGGGCCCTGTGAAGACGGTGTTAGCATATCCTTCCTCTAACAGCCATACATGACGAAGAAACGTACGTTTGTAATCCACATCTTGGTGCCATTAAGCAGATATCCACCATCCACCTCCTTCGCCGTACTCTTCATGCTAACAACATCACTCCCCGCACTATGCTCGCTCATAGCCAGCCCACCAATCTTCTCTCCACTGATCAAACCAGGCAGGTACTTCTTCTTCTGCTCCGCATTCCCGTTCAACATCAACTGGTTCACGCACAATTGGCTGTGTGCCGCGTAACTCAGTCCTATGCTTCCGCTGGCCCGCGACAGCTCCTCCATGACAACACAGTGGGCTTGGTAGCCCATTGCCAGTCCGCCGAACTCCTCATCTGCGGTTATGCCTAGGAAACCCGCTTCGCCGAACTTCTGCCACATTTCGTTGGGGAACTCATTCTGTTTATCGGTGCGCGCGGCAACATCTTCGGGAATCTCGCGTTGGGCGAAGTCGCGGACGGAGTCGCGGAGCTCGTCGAGGTCGGATTGCGACGGGGGTGTGAAGGCTTTGGGGTGCTTGGTCGATGCGTGGCGGGCTGTGGAGGTGGAGAGGATGGCGGCGCGAGGGACGCGTGTTTGCCGGATGCTGCGTGTGAAGAGGCGGGGGGCTAAGGAGGCCATCTTGATTATGATTTAGACGGGAAATTGAAAGGTCAAAGGAATCTTGTCAAGAAATGTGGTGAGATGTTTGACAATACCGTCTTGGGAGTTCGGTTTGCGACGGCTGATGGACCGAGGCACCTTCCTAACTGACGGATTGCGGAGGACCAGGGTCCGGGGAAGAGGGAAGCGGCGTAATTCCGCTCTCCCTTCCCATCTATCAACAAGCCTCTACACAGCCAACGAGCCCTCAAAGATCCTTGACACGCTTCATCGCCCTGTCATTACACTCCCCCACATCCAGTGCGACCAAAAACCTACTCACAGCATTATACGCCGCAACCGTCGCCGTCAACTCCACAACCATGGTATCCTCCAACACGCCCTTGACCATCTCCGCAACCATATCTTCCACCTGCACACCCACAGTCATCTGATCTGTATAAACCATAACTGCGTATTCCTCCTTGCTGAACCCCAACAGCCCCTCCCTCTCCACCATCCCATGTTTTGTAACAGGTAAATCAAAGATAGTCTGAAGTACTTCTTTGGACGCGCCTGCTTTCAAAGCTAGAGCGGCATGCACGTCCCACTCGTGGACTGCGTGGTTCAGCACTGCGATGCGGCTTATCGCTAGTTCTTTCAGGTTGGCTGGTAAGCTGGTTTGCGTGCGGATTGCGCCGATGAATGAGTTCCAGCCGTCTGCTACCGCGGGGTTATGTAGGAGCGCAAGGTCGAGTGGGATGAGGGGGCGCGGCTTTCGTCGCTCGGCGATGCGCTCGTAGACTGGGCGGGCTTCTTCATTTGGGGGCTCGCTTGGGGCGTAGGGGACGCGCATCTTGAATATAGTTGTAGAGCTGAAGGGTCGTAAGTGGATGGTGTGTGGGATGAGTCGAGTCTGAGAGCGGACGGTTGCTAGGTATGGGCGGAGGAACATTGGATGCGAGGAAGCAAGGAAAGAGGGAGATTATATATCATTCTTGTGCATATGCAGGGACTAATACGGATATACTTTCCGGTATACGGAATAGCAAGGCATGGCACTGGTGAGCAATGCTAGTTGTTCAGATAAAATTGAGTAAATCAGGTTTTTGAAAGATCTTTCGATCAAAGATTCATTCATGCGTAGTTTTCCAAAGATCCCACTGTATGAAATATATACATGTTCAACACCACAAAAGACGAACTAATCTACAGTCTGCTCTGTTCATCAAAGACATTCGGTAACCTAGGGATACCTTCCAATCTAGTTGTCTTCTTACCCGCTGGCGCAAGTGTAACATTGTATGTCAAGTCGAGCTTCGCCTTGGGGTCCTTGCTAGGCTCAAAGTCTAGCAGCAGGTCGTCCTTGACGGCAAAGACAGTGTCGTTCGTGACCCATTGGTCGTCACGGGGGTATAATTGTGTGATGAGCGGCTTGTAGTTCTCGGCTGAGACCATGAGATGAATGTGTGCGGGACGGAAGGGGTGGCGGTCGAGTGTCTTGAAGAGTTGGCCAGCGGCGCCTGTTGTGTGTTAGTCGTGCTCATACAGTCTCTTTAGAGGATGACATACCATCGGTAGGCAGCGAGTACGCTGTTGGCTTGTAGCAGTAGTACCAGTACTCGCCCTTCTCGTTTGTGGTGAACTTTCCGCGCAGGTTGTTGGGCTCCTGGTTCTCAGGATCTTGGAAGTCGTACTTTCCGTTTGCGCTCGCTTGCCAGATGTCGATGACGGCGTTGGGAATGCCCTTTTTGGTGTCGAGGTCCATGACTACACCGTGCATGAGAGTTGTCTGGCCATCGGGATGCGGGTTCCGGATAATGGTGTCGCCGAGGTCGCGGAATGGCGAGTGTGGTGACCAGAAGGGGCCGAGGATTGTGGAGGAGGTGGGTGTCTCGCCAGATTCGTTGATGTGCTTGTGTGCGATCTCGTCGACCAATCTGGGGAGAAGTTAGTTTGAAGTTGAAATTTGTCTAGGTTTCAAAAACTCACGATTCTACACCCAGAACATCTGAGATGCGATGCGCCTCGTTCCTGGTGGCGGTTGTAGTCTTGCCAATGGAGTTCACGAATCGTACACCCTCAAACCATTCCTCGTTGGTCAGCTCGACCTCGCGAATGAAGTCGTGAAGATGCCTGATCAGCTTTCCCATGACAAAACGCGTCCTGTCTGGCACATTTGGTCCGATAGCATTAATGACGGCGTCGGTGAAGTTGGGGTCGAAACGGTGCGATCCATTCTCCTGAACCTCAGGCGCTGTTTGTGTGTTTGGGTTCATTTTGAGTGTGAGAATATAAAGAGAATCAAGGTACGAAGGGTATCAGAGTGCAAGTACAGTGGGAGTGGTGAGAACGAGACATCATGCTGGGAGGCATGAGCTTAATAAATAGTACCTGAATTCTACCACCCGCAGCCAACCGAACCGATACCGTTGACAATGGCCGTCTCTCTAGCCGCGGATCAGGCGAGACCTTGTCAGAGCTGTCTGGCGGCATGCTGTACCGGCTCTCAAACGTACTATGAGCGCGAGGAGCTACAGTGCCGAAGGCTGCGCCAGGTCGCGACGGCTGCCCCGCCTCGCGCTGGGCGGGTTGGCGAATTAAAAGGGAGCCGATGTGGAAGAAGTCTTACCCGGCCTTTTTCCCTCACAATCTAGCGTCATCAGCACTAATGCCCCGCCTTCGGCGCAGACCCCTGAAGTCTAGAGACGCGACGCGATGGCTGAATTATCGCAGAGTGGAGGGGGGATTCGGATTGCATCCCAGAGTGACAGCTTTTGCTGCGAGCTGTTTATTTATACGAAAGACACGTTCCTTGCAAGGAAGCAACCACCAACATGGTCAAGCATCACCTCATGATCGGCACTTGGACGCCGCCAGGTGTGATCATTACAGTCGCATTCGATGATGAAACATTGAAGCTGGGGTTGGTGAAGAAGACGGAAATTCCAGAAGATGAGCCCATAAGCTGGATGGCTTTCGACGTATGCGCGCAATTCCTGGACCTTGATGTGACCGACAATAGCTGATGACCAGGATGACAGCACAAGAGGAAGAACATCTACGGTGCTTCTATGAAGAAATGGAGCTCGCACGAAGTCAAGAGCCCGAGTGAGATCGTGCACACAGGCAGCTTTCCCATGGGCGGACATCGTAAGCGACACACCATGAAGCTCAATGCCATTACTGACAAGTTCAACAGCCAAAGCAAACGATGCCGACACCAAGACCCGTGCGATCTTCCTCCTTCCCGCCCAGAAGCCTCCATATGCCGTGTACTGCAATCCGTTCTACGACTATGCTGGCTACGGCAACATCTTCTCGGTCAACCCGGAAGGCCACATCAAAGAGAACATCCAGAACTTCGAGTACTGCGACAAGACTGCCATCCACGGTATGGTCTTCGACCCCTCAGAGACCTATCTCTACAGCGCGGACATGTGGGCCAATCGGGTTTGGTGCCATAAGAAGATAGACGATGAAGGAAGGCTGGAAACAGTAGGCTTTACTGAGGCGCCCGCGCCGAAAGACCATCCTAGATGGGTAGAGATGCATCCGTCAGGGAACTATCTGTATGCCTTGATGGAGGCAGGTAATCGGTTGTGCGAGTACGTGATTGATCCGCAAACCAAGCTCCCCGTCTACACCCACAAGACGTACCCACTAATTCCACCTGGTAAAGTACCCTTCTACGCATTCTATATTGATAGCTAAGTGTCTCCAGGTATCCCCAATGCAACCACTATGTACCGCTCCGACGTTTGCTTCCTCACCAAATCCTCAAACTACCTCTTCGCGACCTCTCGATCCAACTCCTTCTCCCTCACCGGTTATATCGCCGCGTTCAAGATCGCCCCGTCAGGCGCCATTGAGCGACAAATCTGCCTCAATCCCACGCCGACCTCTGGTGGCCATTCGAATGCAGTATCGCCGTGTCCTTGGTCCGATGAGTGGTTAGCGCTTACGGATGATGAGAAGGGCGGCGTGGAGATCTATAGATGGCAGGACGAGTTTCTAGCAAGAGTTGCGAGGTTGGAGATTGGTGAGAAAGGCTTCGGTATGAATGCTATTTGGTACGACTAGACCGATACATAATACTTGGGCATAGAAGATACGTGGGTAGCATTAAGAGAATTAGCACTACGACACAGGATTTCAGTATGTCAGCATAAACTTTGATGTGGGTGAGTACTGCATGCATTGATGGTCCTCCACGTCCCGAAGCGTAGGGTACACGCGTGGTAGCGGCGGGTCTGTGTTCAGCCTCGGAAGAATGAGGGGCAGCGGTGCCGCCGTCGACCGAACTAACGCCAGCCGGCAGATGCCATCGGGGAAGCTCTTCTTTCCCCAACTTCGTCATGGCCTGCACGAGATAATTGGAGTAGTATAGTCGCAACCTTCGAATCTAATCGTTTTCAATCTTGCATTTCCACCCAGTCATCTCTCATCTACTTGCGACACTTACACTGAAGGTTACAGCTACCCACACAACAGATACAATGGCAGCCAAATCAACACCAGGCATCTTGTACGTGACGATGCAGCCCAAGGAGGGCTTGCCTGAAGCACAGTTTCAGGATTGGTAAGTTGACCCCTCCGCAGTCGCATCCTTGCCACTTCACGATCCCACCTGACACTTTCCCCTCCAAGGTACCAGAACGAACACGGCCCCAATCGTCTGCGCCTCCCCTTTTGTAACAATGGCTTCCGCTATCGCGCCACGGATCTCGAGAGCGCGCCTGGGTCTAAAGATAAGCCAGAATGGATGGCCATCTACGATTTCGACGAACTCGAGTGGCTCACTAGGGAACCGTACACGAAGCTTCGAAGCGCACCGGTGCAATCGCAACGAGAACGCGATACTATGAAGCAGATCTTCGTCGACAGGCGATCGTACGATCTCCTCGGAGAGTGGAAGGGTGGAGACTTCAAGGACCTGCAGAAAGTTGAAAACGAGGGAGAGAAGAACGTCATGATTGCCGTGAGCTTTGCGCTGCATGAGGGCGCAGACAAGGAAGAGGAGCTGAAGAAGTGGTACAATGAGGAGCATGTACCTCTTCTGCAAAAGGTTCCCGGCTGGAGGAGAACAAGGAGATTCGTAACATCATACCTAGATCTGGAGAGCGGACACAAGACCGAGAAAGAGTACCTCGCGCTGCATGAGTACGCGCCGCAGAATGGGCTTGGAGGACCCGAGTTCAAGGATGCTACTACGACGGAGTGGTGCGATAAGATCTACAAGGATGTCGTAAAAGACAGGAAGAGGAGGGTCTACGATCTCTACTACACCTTTGGTGCTGCACAGCGCGACCTCCAAAGTCTGGCGAGCAAAGACACAGTACCAGCAGAGAGTTCAGAGGGCATGGTCAAGACATATCCTGCGCACACCACACCAGAGAAGCGACCAGTAATCGAGAGCTTCGTCACAACAAAAGACGGTGTGCAACTGCCGTACCGCCTCGAAGGCTCCAGTGATCCCAACGCGCCTCTACTCGTCCTCTCAAATAGTATACTCGTCGACTACGGCATCTGGGACGACTTCGTAGCCGAGTTCACAAAAGCCACAAACAACAAGTACCGCGTCCTCCGATACAGCACCCGAGGCCGCAACACGCTTCCCTCGAACTCTACATCACCTGTCACAGTCCACACGCTTACAGACGACGTCATCGCCCTCCTCGACGCCCTCCGCGTCAAGAAAGCCTCCATCGTCGGCGTCTCTCTCGGCGGCGCAACAGCACTCAACGCAGGCCTCTCCTACCCGGACCGCATCTCCGCATTCATAGGCTGCGACACCAACGCCTTCGCGCCCCCCTCTAACGCCAACGCCTGGAACGACCGCGTCGCCGTCGCCGAGAAAGAAGGTCTAACCGCCTCATCCGGCGAACCCATCGTCGGCGAAGAACTCGCAGAAGTGACAGTGCGCCGCTGGTTCGTCAAAGAGTCCTACGACGACGCTGAGCTAGCAAAGAAGATCCAGCGCGTCAAGGACATGGTTAAGACGAATTCGTTGGCTGGATTTAGAGATTCGGTCAAGGCGCTACATCAGTATGATATTAGGGAGAAGATGGCCGGGTACAAGGGGAAAGGTGCGTTCTTGGTGGGTGCGGGGGATGGCGTGTTGCCCAAGACTATGAAAGAGAATATGGCGGATAAGTTGGGGAGTGGGGTTGAGCTTAAGGTTGTGGATGGGGCGGGTCATTTGCCCATGGTGGAGAGGCCGGCGGAGGTTGCGCAGTTTGTTGCGAAGTTTTTGGAGGATTAGAGATGTGCATTTCGATAAGTAGAGGACCGAGACAAGTACTCATCTATCTCTATCTCAAGTTAGCTGGGGGCTTTTGCTTATTGGGATCCTCACCTGGGCAACGCCGACTAACCGTGAACAGATTAGCTCAGTAGAACCACCGAGAAATGAAACTTATATCCTCGCCTTCCGAGGTCGCGGACCCGCCATCTCCGCATCCTCTTTCCACAACCGCGTTCTTCCTTTAAGACACTTTCATTCAAATCCAAATCAGTAACAAACTTGTTCTGTCATTGGCCCCAGCCATTAGCCGACAAGACCTATTGCAGGTACTGAGGCTTTGGAAGCTACAATGTCGAATCGCGTCCGAAATGGCCGTATCGGCAAACGAAAGTCTCCCGAAAAGAAGCACAACCCGAATCTTACTCAACTATACTTCTTCAAACCCACTGCGGACAACCGGCGTTTACGCCCTTTCAACAAGACGCCTTACAAGCTTGACTTCTCCGTTCATCAGGGCCTCACCCTCGACGAGGTGGCCTGCAGGAGAGTGGGTGGCCCTGAATTTATCATCTGGGATATCCTTGGCGGAACTTTCGATTTGGCCAGTCGTCCTGACCTTGTTATCGCCCTACGCTCGCTTCCTCATATCTGGTACATAGATGAGAACTTCATGAATATCGATAGAGGGCTCGCCAGACGAGGCTTTAAAAAGGAGATCATTCCCGGATCGCACTATAAGATCTCCTGGCGTAGCGATCCCAGTCAGGTGAAATTGTCGGCTGACAAGACACCATTCGACCACTTTATAGAGATGAAATCGCCTCACGATGTAGAGGACTGGACAATGAGGCAAGAGGAGGTTAGTTTCAATGCGGAGCCCCTCGCTACTCTGCTACCTCGGGCAGCGAATACGGAACAGGGAAGGGCCTGGGATGTATATCCGATACGTCTGTCTTTTTATGGAGTGCCAGTTCGACTTGAACGCCTGTTCATTGATGATCCAGAGAAGAAAGCCACCTATCTCACTATTTCACCCGCCGGTATCACTACAAGCCCAAGCGGTCATCCTCTGAGACGACAACGATGCTTCCTTTATGTCACTATGAAGCTCGATGAGGAGGGAAAAGAGGAGGGCTGGGCAGAAAAGATGCTGGGCCTACCATTCCACTTCTCCGGGGCTTTATACAGCACCGACACCGTCGACTTGGTGGAGACTCGTTTTGAGAAAGTTGACGACGAGGCTGTCATCAAGAAAGGCCTCCGCTTCGAGTTAAGGGGCACTGTTGACAGCATCGACGAAGCCAAAATAACCGTCAAGCCAGATTGGTTGGATCGCCGAGCTTTGGAAAATGAAGACAACCGGGAAACTATGCACGTGATCTTGCAGAAGGATGTTGAAGTACCAGTGGTTGGGGAGAAGTATCTGATTAAAGGCATCATTCCGCCACCTGTTCACGATCAGTGGGGGGGTAGATTCGATTTGGAGGATGGCAAGCTACCGGATGGAGTCTGGAAGGCATTTGCTTTTGATCGCATCATCGAGTAAACTGTTGTCATTATGCTCGGTGCACAATTTTAGAGAGATAGCTGTGCTCGCCTTTGTCAATGCCATCGTCGCAACTGTTTAGTAGTGGAGTTGCGGACGACATCGAGTCTTTGTTCCACGTTTCGCATCCATGAAGCCTCTGTCCATCCATGAGCCGACCGGCACCGCTTTCATATGATCAACTCTTACTCATACGAGACAAAGACGATCCCTGTGTGAGACTGTTTGGCCGATGACTCTACAAAGCTAAGACCTTGTCCATGCCGCCTTCCTATACAAGCACCGCTCTTTCGCAAACATCCTACTTCTAAAAAATCAAAGTGTTCTTCTCAAACGCAGCTGGAAATGTCAGACCGGATCCAGCACGGCCGCATCGAGAAGTCTCCGGGCAAATCACGTCAGTATGACCAGTCGTTTCTAAAGAAAGTATTTTCACGACACAATCAAGGGTATACTTTCCACCCCACGGACGAGAACAGGCGTACATTTCCCGAAAACAAGGATCGATATTTTTTCGACTTTGGCAGCTGGCGTGGCTCCTCGATTAAAGACCTCGCCCATGACTGGGATGGAGAGAGCTTTCTGGCTAACTTTGTGCTTGGCGAGAAGTTCGATTTGGAAGGTCGACCCTCCCTCATCACCGCTCTCCGTTCGTTGGATGCTAATTATTACTGCGATGATTGGAAGGTTGGAACGAAGGTACTAGAACGAGGATTTACGCGGACTTTGAGAAAGGGATCTCACTTCTACTTTAGCAGTCTCGCAGAAGATTCCAGAGTACTGCTGTCTTGTGATGAGACGAAGTATGATCAGTTCATCCATGTAACGTACCCCCCGCCTGAGCATTGGACAAGAGAAAAGACTCCTTCATTTGAGGGCGGCGTAAAGATGCCTGATGTGACTCTAGACACGGCCACATTGGAGGAAACATTGTTCAGTAATCTCAATGAGGCCGAGCGAGAAGAGTTGGCACGATTCCCGGTACACCTCTCTTTCCACGGCATGCCCATCAGGCTAGAGCGGCTATTTCTCGACAAGCCAGACATGAAAGCGACATACCTGACTATAGCACCGTTCGGCTTCAAGAGCAGCTCGAGTAAAACACATCCCCATTATCTCACAATGCGTCTCAACGAAGAAGGCCAAGATGAGGATTGGGCCGAGAAGCTCCTCGGACTGCCCCATCACTTCTTCGGTGCCTACGTCAACGGCGAAACGGAGGATCTTACGTGCGCCCATATCAAGCCTATACAAGCAAGCGAAATTGAGGCTGGATTTCGCTTCGAAGTCCATGGTAACGTCGTGACATCTGAAAGGGGTCGTATTGAGCTAGATAAGGGTATTCCGTTTTATCGGTATGCATCTAAAAGATGTGCACCTAGAAGATATGCATCACCCAAGATTCGTGCCCTGATATACTTGCAAGAAGAATTGGATCTTCCAGGTGGACCAAATCACATTCGTGGGATAATTACGCGGTGGGATAACCGGGGATTTAGTTGTAGGGAAGATCGTCTCGAGCATGCGGTATGGAGACGCTGTGCTTCCGAACTGGAGAAAACAAAATGAGATCGAACTCTTGTAGCGCACTGAGATATCATCATTACCGTATCAATATCAATACTTACCTTCCAAACTACCCTCTACCCTCTATCCTCCCTGCCATCCAACCAGCTCGTGCAATTCACACACCTCTTCGCCTTCTCACTAATATACTTCCTACAAAACCGACATTTAACCTGCTTCTTGACGATGTTATCCCCACTCCCCCTCGAATACGCCAGTGCCACGACCCAAAGCGCCAACGCAACGACCAGGAACCTGACAATCTTGTCCAAGAACTCGCCGTAAGCTAGCACCACAGCGCCGTCATCGACAGCCTGCTTAGGGGTGTTGTAGCCGTTGGAGATGGTGGTGTTGTAGTTGGGTCCGGATTGCAGGATGGCGAACTTGGCGTCGAGGTTGCGGGAGAGGAAGGGGAGGAGCGAGATTATGGGGAGGATGATGGAGGAGACGAGGGAGTTTGCGACGGCGGTGAAGGCGGCTGCGAGGCTGGGTTGTGAGTTAGTATGGCTTATGTGGATTTTGTCTTGTTAGATGGAAGTGACATACATCAGTCCAACGGCTACTTCGAGCACGTTGTCGCGTAGGGCGAAGTTGCTGAAGCTGTCCCAGGCACTGGCGGTTCGCCTTCGGATCCCCTGTTCTGCATCGCGGAGGGTTTGCTGAGTGTTTTCATCTAAGCGCGGCATGGTGGTACTATAGGGTGTTGAGATGGTAGGGTAGGGTGTCACGATGTGTAAGGATGTGGTGCATGGGTGGTGGAAGCTGGAGTCGCGTCTCAGGTGACGACGTCATGCCGGCCGACGCGTAGTGCGCGTAACCTTGGAAGGTTCGCACTAGGCACGCGCATCAGGCTTGTACGAGCACGCCCACGGTCACATTGGCATCTTTGAAGCATACAATTGCCATCGGATATGTTCAGCAGCGTTGACTGTAATGAACATCCCCCTTTCGTTGGTAGTTGTGGCGATGTGATCATCTCCACTCCAACGCCTCCCGAAACCCAGTTTACTCCACGCGTAAGCTTCCCCAGGCTGTGGTCCACTTAGCGAGACGCCAGATAGATCGGCTTTCCTTATTATCATTGCCCTGCGTCGCAGACAGCCAGGCGGCTGCAGCGCTGCGCACGACATATCCAGATCCTCCGACATGACGACGTCTTGCACATCATGCCATGCAGTGGCATGCACACGGCGAAGACCACATCCTTCACGATCTCGATCGCGAACAGGCGTCGCACACCCAACCTCACATTTATCTTATCCAGCCACCAATCCGCGCCGTGGGTCTCCGAATGCCGACCCCACAGAGTCGGCCCTTCTACACAGGAAGCCACTCTGCTCCCGAAGACAGGCCACATGCCCAACCCACACCCCACCCCACCGTCGTAACGAGGAAACCACCAAAAAAGATTTAGACCCCGCCTGTCGCAATCACAATCACGCCAGGCAGCCTCATGATTCAGTACCATCGTCAACTATGCCGACCCCGGATCAAAGCACTCCGCCGCCTATCTCGCGCCGCGTGACCCTTTGCGGCACGCCATAGTAAGATCGCCGTCCTATCTGTAAGGGTCAAAAGGGCACATCGTCCAAAACGCAGGGTCTTGCCATCCGAAGCGGATGGAAAAGCGTGGACATGACAAGTGGTCACGATAGATCAGGTCATGTTGTACCAACTTTGGGAAAGGTAAGCTGTGTACATGTGTAGATCTCTTCGCGTAAAGCACACCAAAAAAAGATGCGCGGTGCAAAATACCCTTTTCCTGCGATAATGTCGGCACGCTGCGCTTCGTGAATGGAGGAAGTGAGGGGTAAAGAATCCGAAAATGTGGTTGGTGAAGCAGCTGGATATATGCCGGTAGATGTTTCTTGGGCACACTTGCTCATGCAACATGCGCAGTGCACGAGGCTGCATGCAAGATACAGAACAAAGCGGTATGGCTAGTCCTTGTTGGAGTAATGGCAGACGAAAATCACGACTTGGTCTGCTGCAGGCAATCGTGAGGCTGAACGGAAGACGAGGAAGAAAAAAAATCGAGTTGGCTGGTACGATAAGATTATCTTCGCCTCTGTAGCGGTGGTGCCGGGAGACCCGATTATTCCTGCTGTGACAGTCGCCGCGGAGGTTTTTCGGATGGTTTAGGGTTGGAGCGGTAAGCGCGCGAAAGAGGGATGTTCGCTGCTGGCGTGTGGAGGGGTAATTTGGGCGCTGTTGGTGGTTTTTCGCTATCGTGGGTTATGCGGCGTGAGGTCACGGTACTGCACGCTTGTCTCTTAGTCTGCAGTAGTCGCGTTTTCGGGTGGGGGATGGTTGCGTGTGCTCGACTCAGTATATCGCCGACGGAGGCTGTCAATGGAAGGGGTTGGCCCGTTGCGTTTGATGAGGTCGTCATAGCAATATCGCCGAGCCAAGTGCGAAGGAGGGGATGAAGCTTGAAGATATTATGAAGTGGAATTTGTTTGTTGTTCGATCGCTATCATGCTGCCGCGGCACGCAATGCAGTACAGTATGTGTAAATGCTCAGTAAAACACCGCCCAATGCGTGTAACCATAAAAATGCAAGCCCGTGGTATACCAAAAACGCCTTCCAATGCTGTGTGTAAAGTCAAAAAGCCACCAACGCCGCGCAATGCTGTGTATCCAACCCCTACCCCATGATGCACCTTTTTCTCTATCCCGCCGTACTACCGTGCTACAAGATCGACTCTCCCGTTACCGAGTCGACTCGTGCTCTTGATTTTGATCGGGTCGATGACCTCCGGCGTTCTGCGCCGTCCTTGGGCTTCCTCGTCTTTGCGCGACGTAGCGCAGGAACATCCTCCTCTTCAGATTCGTCTACAGTGAACAGGTCCGGGCTGGGTTCTCTCCATGAGTGGCGATGACCCGATAGTGTGCGCGAGTACCGGCGACGGTTTTGCTGTTTGCGGGTCGCGAGATCCTGTGCGCGGCCTCGTGATGGTTCAGTGATTCTGATCCGTGGAGGGCTGAGCTGAGACACAACTTGTGGCGTGTCGTTCAGTCGATCGTCATCGAGCCCCATGAAAGACTCCTCCTCGTCCTCTTCGTAGATGGTAGGCGCGTGGTACTGAGTGTGGAGCTGGCTGTGGTTGTGCTTGACATATCGGGTCCACTTGTTGGCGAGGTTGGACTTGAACTTGGAAGACTTGGTGGTGCGCGGTCCTTCCTGGACGTCGATGCCTGCGCTCAGGGACAGCTCGTACGGGTCGTCAGCCTCGGTGATGGGTGGTGAGATGAAGTGCGAGAAGGGGTCTTCGTCGATGTCCGGAAGATCGTTTTCATTAGTGTCGTCGTTGCCGTTCTCGACCCATGGTGGGAAGGAGTAGGCGCGAGGGGTGCTTCGTAGATAGGAAGGCATTATTAAGAGGAAGTCCTTGAATTTCCGAAGGAGCGATGAACGTCGAACAGGCAGTGACGGCTTAGCGCTTGATTCAACCTTGACAAAGGCGATGTGACCGAGAATGGTGTTCGTTCCCCCGGCTCCTGGCCGGTCCTTCCTGAAACAGCAGCTCGAGAACGCTCGGTGAAGAGAGTTCACAAGTGGTGCTGGTAGGAGATTTTGGTAGTAGGTTCGCCAGTGGTGAGCGGCGCACGCAAGCTATATATGCGTGACTTTTGGGTAGGCGTCTGGAAGAGTCACGAGTGGGCGGCGTGGGAGAGGCGATGAATATGAGACAATGCGAGTGCTGCCTGGGAAGTGTTTGCCTGGGAGAGGGCAATGCAAGAAGCGACAGTTAGTAGGAACCGTGGTTTATCCTCCGCGAGATATCTGGGTACGGGATGCATATTCTGGAGGATTCCTTGGGTACTTATGTTGACAGGCGAGCGAAGCAGCCGGAAGAGGAGCCCTGCATGTGCAGTGCATGCGCATTAGCGTGCGGTGTGGATGAGAAGCTTAGTGCAGCGTGAGCAGAATAGGTAAGGATCCCAGGGCGCAAAGGAATGGGTGACAGGCAGAGTGATGGCGGGCGGGCCACATGAGATGGTTGGCGGCACACCATCTCGGTGTAGGATGACCTGCAGGCTGCACGCGCGCATTGGCCACTAGGTGTTGCGGACTCGACGGCCGTTAATGCAGGACTGACGATCCATGGAGTGCCGCTAGATATCAAACTATGGCCAGAGACTGAACAGCGCGATCGTGCAAATTGCAGCGAGCCGTCACGACGACTGGCGACACTAGGCGTCGAGGGTGGAGCCAAAGGCCCGAAGACACTACGCAGTCACGATACAGCGCTAGCGGCGGGGCAGATCACACCAGCATACCATCACAACCTCGACGTTCCCACTCAGCCTCATTTCAGGCTTGCCTCTTTTGGTCCATCATACACCCTCTTCTGCTCACACGCCGCTCGCTCGCGTCGCTGAGAGGCCACGACGGAACTGCTTAGAGTCCCGCTACATCCGCCCTGCCACGCTCGTCGTGGGCATGACGAGGCTGCTTGCGTGAACCTTTGTTCTGTGCCTGCAGCCGACGCTCGACTACACCGAACCCGGTGGCGTTCCTCCAGAAATGTTTCATGGAATGGTCATGGATAGGGTTTCAGCTCCGTGGATGATTCAGCTGATGCGGCTCCAATACACCACACTGATAAACTACATTAACTTTGGATCACCGTGACAATTGCCACTATTGAAGCCTGGCACCGTGGTCTGCCTACACGGAGCATTACCCGTATCATTCGACAGCCTGGGATAACGCGGCAGCACCTCCCGGCTCCACTATCCAGTTCTCCATTATTTTGAGATTTCTACTGTTTTCCCAGATTCCTCCTTACAACCGCGATACGGCCCGATTTTGCTTGGGCTCTACAAAAGATGGAATGACGTAGTTTCGCATACACACGACCCTCCTGTTGGGCTTTGTAATGTTACAGTCACCGTTTTCTGACGTTGCGGTCAACGTCGACGATAGTCGCACACTGTAGACGTGGGTAACGCGGTTCCCGGGCGCCAATTTGGGCGTGCGCCTCAATATCTGACTAAGAACTCTATCTCGCCCACCGCAGTGTCACCTGAACCCTGATGCCGCCTGACGAGTCGGAGTCGCCTGAATTCTTGAATTTCAATGCGTCCCGCTCGCTAATGCTAGCAGACGAAGTCTTGGGAGCTCACGTTCAGCTCTCGAGACGAACTTTTGTGCGCCTCATGGCTGTTCATGTTCCAAATGATGTTCGGCGTGCACGAGTCTGTCGCGGCTGAGTATCCAAGAACGCTACCTTGTTGGGTGACTAGGACCCAGATGTGACAATCTCGGCTCCTCTTTCCAGATGCTACTACAAGTCGCTTACGCCATTAATGAACTGCATTCGACACGGGATTGGACGCTTCTACAGTTTCTCTCCTAATGCGAACCAAACAACGTCTACGAATAGAAGCTCATCGTTTTCCTTCGAAGCGTGTAGTCTTCCCTGGCATGTCGGCTTCTAGGCGTCGTTATTCGCAGCGCTTCCTCCCTTGACTGCATCACGTCTTACCAGATCTGGTGGACTACAACACAGCATGCCCTAGTAGCGCTCTCTACACAATTTGCTTTTTTCCATTCAAATCATTGGGTCCTTAGTCTACACAAATCGACCGATGCAGTGGCACGCGTACCGTGATCTACCACTCACCGCTGGGACGACCCCAGCAAGACTAGATTTCTTCACAACCGGTCTACATCCTCGCAGAGTCCGTCCCTCAACGTCCTTCACGATGCATCTCCAAAGCCATTCACCGCCCTACACCGCCCTTTCCGCCATGCCTTCCGCGATACGATCTACGAGGCGCGAGCGCCCGGGAGCTAAAGTCGCTCGCTAGCCTACAAATCCCCAGCAGGGATTCCCCAAACCGTCAGACCTGCATTTGTACCAAGGAAGAAACACCATACCTGTGGGTCTGCAACAACTCGGACGCTTTTGTTCCAGGTTTCTTGAAACAAACATCGGACCAGCATCGGTCCACCTCGGACTTTTTATGACGCGCGCCTACAGTTACGGGCTCGCGTTTCGGCGAGGCGACGAAAAGTTCGAACGAGATGATCATTGGCCGCCTGCCTCGTTTCGATTCCGTCTCCGTTCGTACATACGAGGCGCTCACCGCTGGTGTTCCTGCACCAAAGCCCGACACACCGTGCCGATAGCGACTCACATAGTGTTGGATGCCGGCATTTGTACCAGCGCTGACAGATTTCCAGTCGCCTTGACTGGATGCCGACGCCGGTGCCAGGGATCCTGTCTGTGGGGTGCATGGTTGAGATGAGCCCCGCCGTCTCTTCGAATTCTGCAACACCACGGACTCTGATCCGACTAATCGCCCCTCTCGATCCGAAATCTAGTTGAGATGCGCGCGCGTACTGCCTGCCCCTATCCTCGCGCCCAATGCATGTACTTGGTACAACGAGGCTCTCACCGACTACGTCACTTCCTTTACCGTCTATGTTTGGGTATACTCTTCTCCGCGGGTCAATGCGATAGTAAGCGCTTCTGAGAAAGACTTCATCAAAATTACCCCGCTCCTCCCACACGGAAAAAAATTATGGTGGACGCGTGTTCCGCGTGACACCATCGACATGGTGCGGGAATGCCGAGCCTGCAAGTAGTCAATCAGGTGCAATGGCAGAACAAACGTGAGGGCTGCAACAACCAGAGGAGAGAAGGAAAAAGAAAAGAAGAATAAGCTTCGTCCTAAACGCTTCGTCGTAACATCTCGGAGTCAGCACTTGCGTATCCCCATGCCCATTACCCCAGCTACGTCACCTGGCACACGCGTTGCACTCACGATCGTCGCGTTAAAACTCTTGTCTCTTTCTTCTTTGCTCTTCGTACCCAATCACAAAAGCGCACGCAGACCCCCTCGTTCAAGAAACGCCGTCCCAAACGCCGCGATCAATGGGTATAGTACATGACAGATGCTAAGATCCGATGCCAATCTCATATCCAAGCATCACCTCTGTTGATGCTCCCTCCCAGCCCCGATTTCCGCCCGTTGAGATCATGAAGTTGCACGTTGGGTCGAGGTATAGCTGCGATATGACGCCGGTGCGGTGTCCGGGGACAATGAAGAAGGGTGTAGCGGCCGCGCCGGCTTTCGGTCCCGCGTCGTTGTGGGCGAGGTCGTAGAGACGGAGGATGTCGTATGATGCGCTGGTACATGTTAGTGCTTGTCTCACGTCACGTCACGGCACGTATCTATGTGTGCGCGTGTGAGGGGGAGGTGAGTTTACCAAATGAGATGTCGCCCATTGGGCATAGCCCGAACTGCGCTCACTGCACCACTGACGCTGGGGAACCGGAATGTGCGTCGCGGCTCTCGTAGACTCTTGTGCAGACTGTACTCGTCCACTGTTCCGTTTCGCCGGCCAGCGTAGATGAAGTTGCCGTCTGGTGACCAGCATGCGTTCATGCACCACGGTGGTGTGTTTCGCGGGGGTGTGATGCGTGCGACTGGGTTCGGTTGCCGGCGGTCCCAGATACGCAATGTGCCGTCCATTGACGCGTCCATAAAGGTCGTTTCAGATGAAGCAGGCTGCTCGGTCTGGTTTGCGGAAGTAGTCGTGGACTGTTCTAGATCCTCTCCATGGGGCAGGCCATTGGCAGTGCCATTAAGCTGCGCATCTGTAGTTCCATTCGCTGCTGGTTGGTTCTCAGCATCTACTGGGGGTTCCTTCGCTTGATCCGCAGCTGGCTCCTCGGGTGCTTGTACAGGACCGCCCATGTCCATCATGTCCATGTCCGCATTGGCGTCGTCGTCCGCTTGTTGTATGCCGTTCGCGATGGCTCTGGAGAACTCGTCCTCGTCGTCGTCACCACCGAACGAAGGAAGAGTGGCCGAGAGGTTGTTTTCCTGGCCGTCGCCGAACAAAGAGTCCTGGTCCTTGTCTCCAAACAGCGAGTCGTCTGGAGATCCCTGGGCATCCTCAGCACCTTCGTCTTTGGGTATCACGGGCTTTATATCGGCGCCGTTCGCGAGGGCGCCGTTGGTTCGAGGTCGAGCGGAGTTGTTGGAGGAGAAAGTGCCGTTCGATGTAGGAAGGGTTTCGGTATCCTGAGGTATAGGTAATGTAGACATGGGACGTTGCTCGATTGCGGATATCTGTCCTCCGCTCGTCTCGAACTTCCTCTTAACGCTTCCAGTGTTCAAGTCCCAGTCATTGATAGTCTTGTCCCAACTACCACTCAATACCGACGTCTCGTCCTGCGACAATGTCAAGACCGAGACGGCTGAGGTATGGTTCTTGAGAGTGTGTATCCGCGTTCCTTCCTGATGGCGCACCGACTGCAGGTTTATGCCTCCCGAGTCCAGACCCGACAACAGCCATAGGGCTTGGTGGTGTACTGCGAGCGAGTACACAGGGGACAAGCTCTCGGCTGCGGCACTGTCCTCATTCTCCCAGTATGAGAGAAGCACGCCCGCCTTGGTGACCGAGTCAACGAAAGGGTGTCGCTGGGCCACAGTTAGGGCAAGCTTGCCGTTGGCTGTGTCCACCCAATTGAACTTTCGTATATAGCCGTCTGCGCCTCCACTGAAGACCCATCGCATGTCCGGTGTGGCGGTGATGGCATTGATTGAGGTGCTATGCGGTGCGGCGATGGTGGGTATGATGTCGTATATAGGCGCATTCAAGGCCTCCTGTCGCACGCTCGGGTGGAAGGGCAGGTTTCCGAGCACGCCCGAAGCCGCCGCTCGAGGGCTGGGTGATGTGAGGGTGACAGATGGATTTCCCTCTGCTTGTCCAGCTGTACCGCCATTGGATATGCTGTTGCGCGGTCGCTGCGAAGGGCTGTCGGGCTCGTCCTGGTCCTGATCTTGGTCCTGGTCTTCATCGTCGTTGTCGTTGTCTCCGTCTGCATCGTCGTCGTCATTATCGCCGTCGTCTGCATCGTCGCCCTCTTCCTCCTCGTCTACATCCATGGCATCGTTCTCCTCCTGCTCATCTTCCTCCTCGGCGGAGCCTGTTGCGCGCGGTCAGCTGGCAGCTCCTCCGAGCGTCGTGGGGATATTTACTGGCGCCATTCTCGTAGTCGTCCTCCTCATTCATACTGTCTCCATGAGCATGGGCTAATTAGCACGTGCTCAGCGGATGCACTGCTACGTCGCGTCGAGTGGATGCGCCGATGTTCGCGTTGGGGAACATGGATGAGGCTCGGCCTCGCGTCATTCTCCCGAACGGCGCCATTCCTGCTCGGGACTAGTGAGTCCTGGTCCAAATGACCTCCAAATCCCCGGCCAGCATCTGTGCAACGTACAACACCGACCCATTTCTATTGGCTGATACTGTACACGTTTGTCCCCTTCTTTGGATGCTGACGGTTCGGCATAGCCGGGGGTGAGATGTTGTAGTCGCCACACGCAGCAGCAGTGCCTACGATAAACGTTATCACACCAACACGTCCGTCCTCGTTCAAGGCGACCGTTTCCGAGATTTTACAATCCAGGACCCTCGCAAAGTCTTCGCGAGATACACAGAACGTACGAAAACAGACCTGTAAACTTCAACAGTTGTCTACTTCATTTTCCTTTAATGTCTTATCCAGCCTGGTTGAGAGACTTCATCATCCTTACTATGGCCTCCGGTCCTGTCTCCTGGAATGCTTATGCCTAGAACGAGTATTGCTCTTGGCGTAAGAGTCCGCAGTCACCAGGCTGGCATCGGTGTTCAGCCTTGTTACCCCTACCTAAGTCTTTGCCTCCTCAATGATTTGGCCCCCGCACCTGTCGCGCTGGCTTACTCTGCGATATCTCGATAGGTTTCCCAAATAATCTTTTGTCATCTGATGGCTACCGGTCTTGTCCTCACCCTTCTTAAGCATGGCAGATCCCCGCGCCCCGCTGTTGTTCTGATATCCCGTTCTTCTGGCCTCTCTTCTATGCGAACCCTCTTTCTTGCAGCCTCTTGTTCTTCGATCGCTTCGATTTACTACTCATCATTCTGACATCCTGCGGAGTATGATGGAGGATACTGCGCTCTTGATCGATCAGCGATCGTCAGTCTCCACCAAAGAGAGTGATGTTCACGAGCGCGATCTGGGACCTACGAATCCCATCGAAGGAGCCAAAATCGCTCTGAAGCGTGACTTTCCATGGCTTGAGTTCATGTATCACACTGCAGTACTCGCCATAGTTGGTATCCTTCTGTGGATACACATCATCGGACTCTTTTGGAGGGATTTCAAGATCAAGAACCAGAAACGGCAGAACATGGAACTCCAGGCATTTCAGGTCGCGTCCAAGGCTCACGAGTTGCTGATGCTCGCATCACTATCCATGATTGTCTTTCACTACATGCGAAGACTGCTGGTCGGGCGAAACGGTATTCCCTTCGGACTCGTCAATGCACTTCATGTCACAGGCTCGCCCAGCATGCTGTTCAAGTGGTCATTCTGGGCGGGGTGGAGGCGTCACCTCCCATTCGGAGGCTTGTTGTTTCTCACCTGTATCTTTTCGCTGACTTTAGGACCGTCATCTGCGATCACGGTGATTCCTTCGCTTGAGTGGTACGAGATGAAGAACGCTTTTCCAGCCGACGGCTCAACCGTCCTCTACAACGCAACTGCAGCCAAAATCTGGCCAACTGTCTTCAATAACTCAATGGACACAAATCAAACTGCTCGTTGCCTCCAAGATCCATTCAAGTCACCATTAAACCTACACTGCCCGTCGGCAGGGTTCATCGATATCTATAAATGGGTATTTATCTCCAGTTTTTCGGACATAACATGTATTCAATGCTGAAACTATTCAGTTTATCAGTTTCACGAAGACTGGATCGCGCGATGACTTGCTCTTCACAGACCTACGTGCGAGCAGCGTTCAACGGAAGGTCTCCATCAAGACTGGTAATGGCCCAAAGGGCGGCTGGGCCTACACCACCGTCATCACTGAGCTGAGCTCGAGAACACTCGGTACATTTTATAACTATGCAAGACACAACAATGCTGGCGGTACTAGAGACATGGCATATCCCCGATTGCGCATCATAGCGGACACTCCAATTCACCAGCCCATCGTCTATGTGAAGTGTAGCCTCTCTTTGTGGACCCAAGTTCCGGATCGACTACGTGTTCCATTTCCGAACATCGATAGGTCACAGGCATGGGGGCAGGAGGCATTGCATCCTGAAGCTGAGACAAAATACGCCAAGCCTAACGATACCATCTTTGATCGGCTACCGAGTAAGATCGCGAGATTCAAATGGTACAAAAGCAACAATGGGAATTTGTCATCATCGCTACTTGCGTTGGCAATCATCCCTGTCTCGGCCAAAAACTCAACAAAAGACAGATACCCATCCACTGCCACTGTGGCATGCTCAACTGATGCAAGGTGGGTCTCTAGCGATGCATATTACCAGCCCAAGAACTCGACCACTGTCTCGAGCAACGTTTCTGATGCACTCTCCGAGACCGAATGGAAACCCGAAAAAGCACTCCTCACCAAGTTGGGCATATCAGAAAACCCGCTCGACTTGAGGCTCGACTGGGCGCATTTTCTGAACCGACAGCAAAGCGAGTGGTTAGCCGACAACTCTTCCTCCACTGTCAGTGGCATGGCCCGGTTCCTCAATACTGCCATCATCCGCCCTAATCAAGAAGACAACCGAATTACGGCGTTCTATGCGCCTAATATGACGACCCCAGACACGGGCGGCGCATTCGAAGAGGCAATAGCGATGCTGGTGGGAACGGTGCTTGTGGACGGCATAGCGCGAAGCATGTCTAGATTATCCTCTTTCGTCAAAACTAACGCCACCGCTGACGTGGTAACAAGACTTGAAACCTTCCTTCCTTCGGGCGAGAGACTCTTCAAGTGGAATCCAGACAGCTACGTTCCCGGTTTCTACTCAGTTCGCATCACACTCGATTCCTACGGATACGGATACGGACTCCAGAACACAGCCGTCTGGGCAGCCATGATTGTCCTGCTACTCTTTGCGCTGATGTTGATTGTGCATGTAGCATTTGTAGGCTATTCTGTCGCTAGGGGACGGTACTACGGTGGCGAGTGCTGGGAGGACGTAGCGGAGCTTATCGCATTGGCAATGAATTCGGCGCCGAGCGAGAAGTTGTACGGCACGAGTGCGGGTGTGGAGCGCGCCGATACATGGAGGAGTATGATCAAGATCCAGGAAACAGGCGACCAACATCTGGAATTGTGTGTCGTGGATGGACATCAGGAGGATGGAGAGACGGTCAAGATCGGGAAGAAGTACTTGTAACCAGAGTGTTTGCTCGTATTTAGGTCGACACGACAACATAGCTGAGGCCTAGATGCACTAGCCATTGACAGTGGTATATTCTGGGTTTGTTTAAATTGATGTATCGTCGCGAAGTAGTCTGGAGACCAAGAGTATGCAGCCACAGTCAGAGACGGATACGAAATAGCAATTGAATGGTTTGGGCGGAGTTTCTTCCGAGTACTCCGACGTGAGGTTTTCATAAGTAGGAAATTCTTGTTTACGTTGAGAATATGAGCGCCAGTGGATATAGCTCCAGCCTTTTATCGGCAAGATGAGGAGATCGAGCGTCTGGGCCTGCCGGTATGGATGGAGATCGTAGAGTCCCACTTCCAATATGATGGTACAGCACCGGGATAGCCGATATGTTTATCCTGACGGCTCGCTGCGATAGTTATTTTTGACACCAACAAAAGACGCATTGTCTGAGTAAGGAAAAGGTGGCGACCGTCGGAATCCACAGCAAGTTCTTGCGGAGTTGCTTGACTCAAGTAGTAGGCGTGTCAACGCATGGGGCCGCTTCCCCGAACTTGCGGGTTCAGGCCGCCAGCGAGGCTGACCGGCCAGCGGCCCCCATGGCCATGAGGCAGCCTGGCGACCTGTCTTTGGGTTTGAAATTTGCGGCTGAGTTCAGTGCGACAGAGCTTGTACCAGTTGGTGTTTCTAAACATTGAGGAGAGAAGAAAAGCGATGTTGATGAGATGTCGGTAAAGGACTGCAGAGCCGCAGAGCCGCAGAGCCGCGCAGGATGCGGGCACCCGCAGACACCCCGCTTAAACTGCCTAAGGCCTCTGCAAAATCATCCAGCGCGTAACTCATCGTTTGGAAACACATGGTGCACGGTGATATGGACTATGGGAGCACTTGTAAGTTCGACCGGTGAGAGCGTCGTGTTCGTGGTTCTACCTAGGAGGCAAATGATGACATGCCGCCTCGCCACTCCACGCTTATTGTGCCGCAACATAGGCATACGCCTCATGCTCCTGACATTTCAGCAACCCCAACTCCTTCAACCACTCAAAAAGGATCGCGATGCCGGTTCTCAAGCTTGTGCCACGTTCCACGTCTGTTGCACTGCCCTACGCGCCGAGGCATGGTTGGTCCAGAGCGGCGTGATTGGATTCCCGACCCATAATCCTGTAGCCGCCGAAGGCACCTCTTGCATGGTTTCATAGCCAGGCTGGTGCGGCGATCATGCAGTCTTCACGACTGCGCCGCAATATTTGCTCCGACCATGTACTGCATATGCCCGAAACTTGTACTCTGGGACAGAGTACTAACTCCCACATCCTCTCACGTTCTGCGTGTGTGCGAAACGTCAAGTGACTCCCTCAACCATGGCGACACCCACACCATCCCCCACATCGAAACATTTCAACCTAACGACCACTCAAGAGGAGAATGCAATCGAAACGGACCTGGCCCTTCCTGGCATCAAGCGCGGTATTGCCATTGGAGTAGCGTGTTCTGTATCGATCGTCGTTATCGCCATTCTTGCTTTCTTTGCGATCAGACGAAGGAACCGTGTGCTGGCTCGGAGAGCACAGCTCCAGACCACAAAGAGAGAGTCGATAGACGCCGAAGCAGGACCACAGGAGAAAGCTTGGTATTCTACACCCGCGTCATCACCACCGCTGCCAACACCACCACCGCTGCTTGTTGAAGCCGATGCTCGGATTATCTACGAATTGGATGCAGGCCAGATACCAGAACTGCACGGCGATACTGCTGCGCAAGAAGTAGAGGGAAATGGCAACATTCACGCCACGTCAGAAGCGGAAGAACTGTACGTTCGGAAGCTTGAGCAATGGAGGACTTGGAGCATGGCACTGGAGCCGGATACAAGGACTCGTACCACCGAACCCGTACGTGCTCCCGTACCGCTACTCATGGTTTCACCACCTGAGGCTTCTCCTGGTGGAGTCTCGCCGTTGCAGCGCTTGTCGAGGGACTACACCCCGCAGGACGGCTCGCCAGTATCACCGCCTCCAAATGTCCATTTTCCATCGGGTCATCGCGAGTACACCAACCATTGAGAGAGAGAAATTTCCAAAATTGGCTTCCCCGTTAGGAAAGCGCGAAAAAATGTATTTTGTTTCGTAACGACATGAGATGCTAGCGGACCGTCAACACGACGCTTTCTTATCCTCGATACTCTTCGAATCGACGTGGTACTGGTCGTCTTCGTCATCGATTGGCGAGTCCGGGAAGAGCCGCTCCCCAGTGCCTTTCTTTTCGTCGTTTGGAAGGACTTCGGAACCTGGTAATTCTGCAGCAAAGAGTCGACGGTCACCAACGGCCTCCACGGGAACAACAGGACTGGCGAGTTCAGAAGCGCTCTTCTCGCTATTACACCCAGCCTCCATCTCCGCTGGCCCGAGGGCTCCACATTCGCTCCCCTTTGTCGCATTCTCCAAGTCGTACGAACTTTGTGACAGGGTGCTCTTCCGGCGTATTCCAGCTCGCCTTCGACGCACGCAAAACCAGCCGCCTAGTAGAAGTAGTATGACAGCAACGGCGACTGCTGCGCCGATACCAGCGCTCGCGCCAACGCCCAGACCGCCATTTCCGGATTCTAGAACTGCGGGCGCTGAAGCAGAGGCTTGCGTCGAGGTTGAAGAAGGAAGAGAGGTTTGTGAAGATTGTGATGCATCGGCCGGTGATGGTCTCCCAGGAGGACCCGGTGTTGGCGGCGTTGGAGTTGGAGCAGGTGCAGTTGAGCTCACGTCGTCATCGTCATCATCGTCCCTGTCCTTGCGGTCTTTCTCTGTCTCAGTCGGGAGCGGCACAGTCGGATCTGTGGATGTCGACATGGCGGATATCACGATGGTAAATGTATAGTAAGAAGACTGCCAGAGCGCACTGCGACAGTTGTACAATAATGTGAGCTTCTAGTGACCAATTTTGAGATTATCTCCAAAATAATTTGCACTTGCTACACCCCACTTACATATGAACATCAATGTCCCAGGACAATGGGCATCGACGACGACACCTCATCCATGTTTTCGCGTTCAAGCATCGGCAGAGTCGCGGCACCCATCGCTCATTCGCAGACGGTCCTAATAGCGCGTCGATTCCGCCGGCTCAGCCTCGTCTCCTCACGAAAACTTCGGTCAATTGTCATCTTGGCCTTACCTGCTACAGGCCTGACTTTTCCGTGCCTTGATGTTGGGTCTCGATAGGCCAATGACTTTGATGCTCCCATGTAAGATGGGAGACGCGTCCATCGGGGCTCCGCTGTGCTGTCGAGTTCGCCAAGCTGCGGAGGCCATCGCCGCGTAGTCATCAACTACCGATCCATTCGACCAAAGTTTGGAATTGTCTTGCCCTTAGAATGAATATCATTTCTGCGTGGCGACTTTTGTGTAGTGGTGTGCTTCGGGCTGCGCACAGTAGGTATGTATGTATGCAGGAGCTCCTGAGAACTAAGGAAAATTCACGGGCCAGCCGCTACATCATGCAGGGCTAATGACATTGACCCAGGAACTGGAATTGTCGATGCTGGGCCTAAGTCGAAAGTTTTGCCATTCATGGACAAGCCGCTGCACAACACGTGGGGTCTCAGGCATCGCTAGGTATGATCACGCCGATTAGGTTCACGATATTGGGTTCATGGAAATGCGCGCAAATTGCCATGAGATGTATGACACCTATCTCTTTAGAGGAAAAACAGCGACCTGACGGCGAGGAGATGGTTCGAGTCAGTGCTGCGAAGCGTGTGCGATCCACATGTCGGCGCCATCGGAAGCGAGTCCGTCCCGTCCGCGGTGTCCCCTCCAGCCTCCCCGCCCCATCGCGTTGCACGCCGTTCAACGTGCCTCGACGCCGTCGCTCGCTCTATGCAAATGCTCCTCCTCTCAACCGATCATACAAACCGAATGCTGCCCAAGCAAGAAAATCAGCGAAATCTTTGACGCCGCGCGTCTGACTGGACTCTGGACCGGGCTACAGACTGCAGCTCTCGCAATCGCTTTGCGGGACGCATCTACTGTGAGATTTTACGGTACACCCAAAGTTTTGAGTACATTAGCACGTGGTCTATGTACAGGGACAGATGCCTCGGGATGCTGCTGATTCGCTATTGCTGTCTGAGTAAGCAGGGGCCATGGAAAGTATCACTACCACCGTAGTGCCCGCGGAACAAAGCCGGTCGAGAACTCCTAGGGGGAAGAAACTAGATCGACATGAATTATACTTTCAGCCATCCCCAAGGCAGTCATCATTACCGCATAGGATATTGTGCCATCTCGAGAGCACGGTGGACTAAGATCGATCTTTGGCGGTGCGCCCATACACTTGCATCAGCTTCTTCCGCGGGATGAATGCCACAGGGTCTCTTCCGTGGCCTACAGGCATGCTATCAATCTGATAGACTCTGGTGCGGCTCCTCTGGATGGTCGATCAGCTAGATTGGTGCCTGCGCCTGCCCTTGCAGGTGATGGGGACGAAGAGGCCGTCAGCTAGCGCAGAGCGGCACACCCGCACTTCTTCAATAGCGCGACATTTGAATGGGGAATCCCTTCGATAATCGTCTGAGTAATTGCATGTTGAAGAGGTGATCTGGCGACACAGAACCATACAATGGCAGAGGTTGGCAGAGAACCATGATACGTCGACGGCGCGCCTGGAACCAAACACCAGAGATCCAAAGGTCTGGAAGGAATGTTGTTTTTCGTTCCGGATTGCATGTTCTGGCATTAAGAGCTAGCTTCGCACGTCAGTTAGGGTTACCGGTCTGATGGAAGAGTCTAATACTACCGCCCAAAGTCCTGACGAAAGACGCCACACAACGGCTGACCGAGAGATAATAAGGGGATCCACCGGGTCTATTGCGCATTCATCGTGCATATCCCACAGGCCACTCGCCCCCGTAAGACTACGCCGGTTGCGGCCCGACCTCTACGTGGATTCATATGCCTTCGGGCTCCTCTACACAGATTGTTGCGGATCTTACCTTCATTTCACATTGAAACCACTGAGACCTTGCATTATGGCAAGCCAGAACTCCAACCCCAACGCAGACCCTGTCTTCTTCGGTGGCATAGAAGTCGACATCACCCAATTCGATTTCAGCGACCATACTTCGAAGGTCAACAGTCTTACGATAACATGCGCAGTCTTCATCGCTCTGGTGGTGTTGACTGTCGGTCTCCGCCTCTTCGCAAGAGCGAAATACGTCGGCCATATCTTCATAGACGATTGTACGGGCCAACCTATTCCCTCACAAAGGTCCCAGCTGATATATGACAGTCCTTATCATTTGCGCGGCCATCTTCACTGTTGCTCTGGCTGCAGTGTGTATCGCTGGTAAGCAGCAAGTATTTCGAGTGTGGAATCCAGCTAACGATATGTTAGCGACCCAATATGGCCTCGGGCGACACATTTGGCTCCTACCCATGTTGACACTCTTCGACACTTTGAAGGACTGTATATTGGTAGGTGCCAAGCTTTCATTGGGTGTCGTATTATGGATATGGCGATCGTCATGAATGTTGAAAATGGGCTTATTGAGCTGTCACAACTAACGCGCTATAGTATCTCTTCATCTGCCAAATCCTATACGCCTTTGCTATTGCGTTGACGAAGATCGCCATCATATCGTCGTACCTGCGTTTCATCCACGACAAGACCTTCCGCATCTGGATGTACGCGATATCTGTGTGCATCGTCGGTCTATGGATTTCGGGTAAGACAAGCCACAGTTACCGACACGTGACATGTGCTGAAGTACTGTTAGGAATCTTCGTCACCATCTTCCAATGCCGTCCGGTCCAAGGAGCGTGGGACTTCACCCTCGAACCAGTGTGCGTCGACTACGTCACCTATCTATACGCCAGCTCCGCCGTTAATGTCGCGACGGATCTCCTCCTTTGCGCGTTACCTATACCTCATATTTGGAGGCTGAACATGCCAAAAAGGCAACGAATCGTTCTCTGTGTGCTACTGGCAGGAGGTGCAAGGTATGTGTAGACGGCAGGTCATCGAACTTCGCTGACGTTTGATAGCGCAAGCATATTGGGCATTGTCCGTATTGCCTTCTTGGATCGTTTACGCGTCCTGGATGTTACCTGTAAGTATTCCTTCGGTTTGAGGATCATGATGGAGGGTGTCTTTGGATGCAGTAAGCAGAGCACGAACTGCTATACCTGCCACCAACAGAAATTGCATTGATGTCGGCTATTCCACTCGAACATGAGAGCTAACAAATATACAGATCAGAGTGTCGAGTGCGTAATTATGTCGGTAGGCGAGTGCAGTCTGGGAATCATCTCCGTCAGCATCGCTGCTCTTCGTCCAATGGCACGGCAGTTCTTCCCCAACGCGATGCGAAACTCTCCCTCTTCCTCGTCCAAGCCACGCGAAGCAGGACACGTTCGCCTCGAACACATACCCTCAAGCCAGGACAAGGATCAGTTCACATCGGACAGCAAACATGATCTGTCAGGTTCATACGGATCGCATACACAAGTCTCTTGCTAGTCATCTATGTATAATCTAGACAACGTTTACAAACCTCCGTACGGCTTCCCATCTCGCATACCGTCTTCAAATGCTGCAATGTCGATTCATACTGTCGGGATACTATGAATGGCTGAGTGGTGACTTCGCAAGTCTTTTGCGAACATAGCACAGGCAACGTGAGCTTCATTTGGCACAAAGAGTCCAGCGAAGCTTATGTTACCAGTACTACATTTGAATCCTTGGCTGCGTTCCTGACCTAGAAGAGAAACAGGAATGACGAAAGTCCTTGGAGGTTGTCAAGCTCTCGAGACAGGCGACCAAGAGCGGGACGGAACGCCTTGTTCAGCTGACCGCCAAGAAAGCCAAGCCGTCAGCCCAATCTCGCGCTTTTCCATGGCTGGCTAAACAACGATTGTAATTGGTCCAACACCCTCACGACGTCACAGACCATTACCAGAATCGCGTCAAGCTGAAAGCAGGCTGTGTTGGCGATCTTACTCTGCGCGCGCAGGCTGTGTACAGCGTTAAGGCGTCCACGGCGTAATTCATGAAGCACACCGCTTGTGGCCTGAATACATAAATGCGATGCGTCGCGCCTCCTTTCCATGTGCATACAACTTATCAAATCTGCCTCAAGGTTACACCAAAGACTCATTGCGGCGGCTCATACATCAACCAGTCACCCTTGATCTACTCATCAGTCTATAAAACTCTACCTAAAACCCATTGCCCCCTTTACAACTCTCCATCTTCAAACTACAAGCTTGCAAATCTACCCCAAACATCACCACCATGAAGTACACAGCAGCAACCACTCTTCTCCTCGCGACCATGGCGCTCGCCAGCCCAGCACCCGTCGCCAACCCAGACGCGGTAGCTGAAACCCAACTCATCGGATCTCGCGCCCAATTCCGCGAAGCGCTTGCCGCACGCGACACCCTAGTTATGCCAGAAGTTCAACTCGAAGAACGAGCCAGCAGCAGCGGCGGCAAAGGAGGAAGCAAGGGTGGAAAAGGCACTGGTGGAAAAAACAACACCGAAAGCGCGGCGTCCGACATGCTTTCACCAAGTCGCGCTCTGCAGATCACTGCACTGGGTCTGGGCGTTGTGGAGGTTGTAAGACTCTGGGGTTAGACGACGCGAGCGAGATGGAGCTATGCGGGTTGAGAGCACGGTGCCTATCATTATATTGGGAGGAGAGAGGCGGAGTTTGGTGTGGTCACGACATTTTACTGAGCGATGGAGTCATGTTAGCATGTTATTGTATGATATTGGAGTTCGATACCACGGCATTCGGAAATCAATATGGAGTTCACAACACCACAATCTTCTGCTTGCAGGTTAAGCTTAAGGCGCCCGCTACGTCACCCCGCATGTGTGCCACAGCGATCAAGTTTCTACATCTGACACGACAAGTCCATGCACTGGACTACGAGGACTGATGACGATGGTATTGACCCGGATCGGTGAACTCAGTGTGTGTTGTACACCGAGTGATTCACTCCATCGTTAAGATGATCATCTCAGTAAACAAGCATAGCCACAGTGTGGCGGTGTTGATCAAAGGACAGACTCGATATGGCTGAGATGATCAGTGCACAGCCACAAAGAGTTGAGAGATCAGCAAATGTAATAAACCTGAACAAGTTCACCATGTGCAGATCAAAGAGATTTGAAGTATGAAGAGTAAACATTAACACTGGTATCTGCCGCGGCCTAAACGCTAGAAATGAAAAACGCCGTGCAAATGCTATGCCCCAAACGCTGCGCTATGCTATCGGATCGAATAGAATCCAAAACACTTTTTGTTGCCATGAAGCAATGTTTACAAGAACTTGTTGATCATCTTCTTCCAGCCACTGGCGGAAGATTCTTCCCAGGTCTCGCTAACTTCGTCCTCGAACTTCCCACTCAGGAGATCGGCTTCGGCGGGGTTGATGAACTTGCTCCTGGTAACGAGCTTGTGTCCAATGTAAAGTACGGCGAAGAGAATTAAACTGATGTATGCGATGAAGAAGTCTTCAACGCTCCATGGGACGAAGGCGGTGAAACCTTGGGTGATGGTGATGATGGCGCAGAAAGTGACACCGTAGATGGCGAGTGGGCGGCCACCCCATGACTTGAATGGGAGGGTGTCACGGTCGATGTTCTGAGCCTTGAGTGCGCGCATGAAGCTGATGTGGCAGATCAAGACACAAGTCCAGGCGATGAAACCTGCGACGGAGACGATGTTGAGGAGCCAGTTGAAAGCTTCTCCACCGTTGGCGCTAAGGTTCATGTAGGCAAGCAGACCCATGGCGCCGGTGACTGAGGTCGCCCAGTATGGGACACCTCGCTTGCTGGTAGCCTTGAGGAAAGCAGGGGCACACTTCTCCTCCGCAAGACCGACAAGAATACGGCTACCAGAGTAGACGTTGGAGCTGGCGGCTGAGAGAACGACGGTAAGCAGGATGGCGTTGAAGATATCGGGAAGAGCGGAGACTCCGGCAAGCTGGAAAGCAATAACCATAGGAGATGAACCGGCGTTGGTATCACCAATCTGGAGAGCCTCGTTGTCGTAGGGGACCAGAATGCCAACGAAGAAGATTGTGAAGACGAAAAGGGTGAAAATGCTCCAGAAGGTCTTTCGGATGGCCGAAGGCATGGTGACACGAGGGTTCGCGGACTCTCCAGCACCAATGGCGCAGAGCTCAGTACCCTGGTATGCGAAACCAGCCTGGATGAGGACAGCCCAGAAACCGACGAACTTGGCAACAGGGCCTTCGGCAAGGTATGGAGCGAAAGCACCGGGAGAGTTCCAGTACTGGAAGCCAATGTAGCCTTGTGCGCCGACACCAGCGTTCATGCAGATGGCGTAGATCCAGAAACCGACAAGGGCAACGACCTTGATGAGAGCAAACCAGAATTCGAATTCACCGAAAATGTCAACGGGCAAGAAGTTGACGGCGGTGATTGGTACCCAGAAGATTGTGATGAAGATGCCGATGCTGAGATCTGAGTCCCACCATTGGATGATAAGTCCAGCGGCGGTGAGTTCGAGTGCGTATGTGATGGACCACGAAAACCAGTAAATCCAACCCATGGAGAAACCTAACGAGGGGTCGACAAAGCGGGCAGCGTATTGTGTGAATGCACCAGAAATGGGGAGGTAGGTAGCCATCTCAGCCAAACTGAGCATGACGGAGTAGACCAGAGTACCGACGAAAACGTAAGCCAGGAGCGCGCCAGCAGGTCCAGCAGTAGCGATGGAACCTCCGCTAGCAATGAAGACTCCGGTTCCTACAGTACCGCCGATGGCGACGAACTGCAAGTGTCGGGATGAAAGCTTGCGCTGAAGCTCATCCTTGGGGGGTGCGGCCTGCTTCTCGACGTCGCTCGAAGAGTGCGGGACCGACTTGTCCGACCGCTGGTCCATCTTAGGCGTGATCTCCTCAGAGGCGGATGCCATATTGGTGGTGGTATTGGCGAGGGACCCTGGGGTGGGGCCTGAGGTTCAAAGTAAGAACAACAACGACGAAGCTGTGATGTATACGATAGATGTCAAGTGCGCAAGAGCCAGGGACGAAAACGATATTTCAATCAAACCACGGTTACCCACCACTCCAGAAAGTGGAGTCATGGCGCAAGACTCCATGAGCCATCATGTTAGCCGTCGGCGTACTCCACGCTCTGGAAAGCCAGTCGACCGTCCAAATTTTCATCGTCGGTCCACTTGGCGGGCAACAGAGTCGTTTTGCCGCGCAAGATGCAGAAGTTGAACCGTGACAGTAGCATGATCGAAATTTTCGAGCCAGGATCACGTCGGCTACGAGCGGGTCGGCGCCGCCAGTTCGCGTCGCCTTGAGCGCGACAGGCCAAGCGCCAATGCTTATCGCGGGATTACCGTGTGGAATGTGTAGCTTTGCCGTTCCGTATGTTCCCAGCAGAAAAATTCTGCAGCTTAGCAGTATCTTTTTTGGGGTACTTTGTGGCGGCGGACGCGTTTCGGGAATAGCGAGAGGGCCGGCCCTTCATCGGGTCACGGCCTTGGCGCTGGCCGTGTCAGACTTCATCCATCGGGAAACCTCATCAGGCCTATCATGACTCCGTCGCATGTCACCGCATTCAGCTCACCCCTTTCCCCAGCCGGTGGTTGTAGAGATCTGCTTTGGTCATGCTGAGTCAAATGCCGCAGACTTTTATTTGCATGGCTTGAAGGCGCATCACGCTCTACTTAGGTAGTGTTGTTACCAGATTCGCGCGACTATCACATCGTGAGAGCCCAGTTCCTGCACATCTTATGCGACCAGTGGAAGCAACCAGCCAGCATAGCAAGCCATCGATACCGCCTATACGTCCAGGACGCATACAAAAATCCGATGGAGTCTACCATCTCACACGGCTAAGAGGTTTCAACATCAGGCGCGTTCACAACTAGCTTTCTCACCGCAGCATCATCGTCGACGTCGAAAGCAACACGTACTATTAGTCACGTACCGAACGTGGCATAAAACTAGACCCCAGGTTCTTCAGCCTTATGCACTCCAGTACGAGCCCAAGTGTGGTGCTACCGTTGCGCTGAGACATGGGAGCCGGGACCCAGCCGAGCGCTCGCCGGACTGTCCTGGCAGAATCCGGGGACGTGTCTGACTTTTCATGTGATCTGGGGAAGATTCGCCTTGTTGCTGGACTAGAATTCTTGGCCTTGAGCCGAGACCCTCGTCTCGTTGCCACTGTGTCTTTTCACCACCGCATCGTCGTATATGATTGGACATACATCAAGTGTAAATTACATGGATATCTCGGTACATATCGACTAGTCTTACTCCTGATGAAGCAGCCCGATTTGTGGATCGATTCGCTTACACGTCTAGAAGTGGAGAAATTGGGACAGGTACACTACTATTACTACACTGCGGCGCTCAAGCACGATGTTCGTTTCACCTCGACAACGAAGCGCTGTGGGCTCCTCAAGACTCCCAACTGACTCATTCACTCGTCATCGTCGTAGTCCATCTCTTCGTCTTCGTCCTCATCCTCGTCGTCATATCGGTCTTCTTCCTCATCACCCTCATCACCATCCATCCCACTCGTGTTCTTCAACTCATCCAAGTCCCACACACTATCCGGCAACCCCGTAACCCCCACATCTCTCTTCACAGTGATGATCCCGAACTCCTCGACGCCGCAGAAGCCTCCCCTCTGACTCTTGCCAAAGAACCCCACAATAATCTCATCAGGGCTGGGTGTCAGCCTCACAACGTCCGAGTCACGCCTCGCGTTGAGCTCGCCGGCACTGGTGCCGTCGCTGAGATGTAGCCTTACACCATCCCTAGGGACGACTTCGACGGAACTAATCTCCACCCCCTGGGGAAGACGTATCTTCTCGGAAGCGTGACCGCCGAACTGGTGCTTGCGGCCGTATGTACGCATGGGTCCCCAGTGGCTCGTGTGGCCATCTGCATACTTCACCACGCCGCCATCCCATAAACATCCGACCCTTAGATCGATGGAAACGGCGCGGTGCAGGTTTCCATCCTTGCCCTTCTCGTGGAGAAGCTGCGCCCATTCGTACCTACGAGTATCGGACTCATCGGGGAAGGCCAGGCGCTTTGCAAGTCGGATCTCGGAGCCTGGGATACGGATGTATGATCTGCTGGCGAGGAGTTTCCAAACGTTGCCGATATTGGTCTCCTTCCCATTGTAGGCGAGGATGTTGAGATGGAGGGCCTGGGATCGATCGAAACGATCTTCGAGAGAGGATTCCGTATACTCAATGCGCTTCGGTGCGTTGCGAGTCCAGCCGAGGGGCTGGGATGTCTCTGCACGGTTGAAAGTAAAGCGTACGATGCCGCTGCTTGAGCTGATGACGAGCTTTGTCGGACCTTCGTCGTCGGTGTGCTCAGCGTAGGCCTCGGGCGAAGCATGTCGTTCTTCGTCGCTGATTGTAGGGTCTACCGGTAGACGGAAGTGAGGCAGCATGCGGAACGAGAGCGCATCAGCTAGGTTCCAACGGGCATTGTTAGGTGTGTTATGAGGATCCACGAGCACACCTTCTGATTTGAGGTGACCAGAGTATGCGGTCTTGGGGAGGAAGTTCTTGGGCCAGTCTTGCGCATATCCACGTTCCATGATGCCAGAGCGGTGAGGCGAGCCGAATGCGTGACCAATTTCATGGAGAAAAGCGCCTTGGCCGATTGCGCATGCTTCCCACATGGTGTTGCATTGGCCATTGTCATTGCCTACTTTGTCTCCAGGTGCACGGATGTCCGTGAGACAGCCTGTAACTTCTTCCAAGAAGCGCGGCCAAGAGTAGGTCAGATGGCTACCAAACATACCCAATGAGATTCCGTCAGGGTTATGGCAACCCAAAGCTGCATGGCCGAGGATCAGCTTCTGCGTGACGCTGTAGTGTGAGTCTAAGATCAGCCCAGCAACGATGGGTCGGGCGTCGGAAGCGAAT